TTATATTTTATATGAAAACAGAAATTATACCACAGGGATTTGTTAATAAAAATGAAAAAAAAATTGAAGCCTTATAGAAGACAATGCCAGAGTTAAAAAAAAATGAGCAGCAACTAAGAGTTTCCAAGGAAATGAGACGCACTGCAAATGATCTCACTGGATGATGGAGACTTGTAGTTTGAATGATATAGTGTGGCTGTGAGAGATGCAATATATATTGAACACTCTTTTAGTTTAGCTGGAGATACTGCAAGTTGTTTACAGTACCTGCTTAATGTTATTATGCCAATAATGTGTTTAACAGTAAGAATTAAACTGCCATTATTTTTGTTTTACAGCTGCAATACATTGTAGCAGAGTTTCCAGCAAAGTGCTTATTGGTTAGGAGAATGAAGTATGCATCACTGAATCCATGTACACTTTAGAAGGCTTTTAAGTCATGCACCAAGAGAATTTAGAGATTCTATTAATATTCCTCACCATTGGAAGAAGGGAAATTGAAAACTTTTGGTGGCAGGGAAGAGTGGGGGAATATACCTGCATGATTGGTTCCAAACTACAGCCATTGTTACAGTAACTCTCTTGTAATTAGACTGAGAAAATATTTTTGACAAAAAAGGTTTAGAGCAGCTGGGGACAAGTAATCTCTCTCATACTATAGCAATGTAAGACTTCAATTCAGTAAGGAAAATTTACCTTCTTCCTCCCTCATCACAAACACAGCAGTAATTAACAGTATGAAGCAGTAGCCTTTTATGGGTTCCAGTGGAAGTTCTTTTAGTTGGACAATATCATTTAAAACCTTATACATGCACTATAGTGCAGTCATTCAGCAGAATACTCCAAGCTGGCAGTGGTTCAGAGAAACAGTTTGATACATTAATTTATTTTCAGCTTAAAACTATAATCACATTTTGTAACATTTGGATCACTGGGCTTTGTAGAATGTAACACAAACAAATACTTAAATTTTATAGTGAGATTATAATTCAGGTCTATTCATTTTATTTATATAGTGCCAATTCACAGCACATGTCATCTCATAGCACTTTACAGAGACAATTCAACTAGATCATACAGTCAGATTGATTCAAAATTTTCTATCCAAGGAAAACCAGCTGATTACATTGATTCATTGAGTCAACAGCAATCTCTCACACACAGTATGCATGTAGCGACAGTGGAGAGGAAAACTCCCTTTTAACAGGAGGAAACCTCCAACAGAACCAGGCTCAGTGTGAGGCTGCCATCTGCCGAGGCTGACTGGGGTTCAAGGAGACAGAAGCAGAGATACAGAAAGAAGCAGAGATACAAAAAGCAACTTTCAAGCAGCTCCACAGGCAGCCCCATCCAGGAAACACACAGCCAGGCAGATGAGCTTGGAGCCAGCCCCCACGTCAGAGGGGAAAGGTTCTGGCCTTCCATTACCCTTTTTATGGCCTCAGATACCCAGTTTTAAATATTGTTACTAAAAACTGTTATAACATATTCAAACTGGTACCCTGTTGCAGCTTGAAATGGCGTACCCTTGCCTACAGTACAAAAAGGGGAAACTTAGCACTACCGTGAACAATAGATTTTCTATTTCATTCAGGTCTGGACTTTTACTATGCCCCTCCTCAACAGGGGTATCAGTAGGGCATTTTAAGGGGGGCTATACAAACTAACATATAAATGATGTAATTTTGATTGGAGCATATTCAATCAAAATTGTAAGAAATTGATCTCATGTTAAATGACCTTAAAATATTAAAAAGAATAAACAGAACACAAGTGTGTAATGGCCGCAGTCATTTGAAAATGTTGTTAAGAGGTTAAGTGGACCGACCTACTTAAAACATTAGTCAAATACAACACAAGTAGACATAATGCAGTTTATACATTCAAATTATTTTTTTATATTAAGGGAGAAAAATCCACACTTTTTTACCACAGCACATATACAGAATTTAACTTGACCAAAATATTTAGAAAAGCAGTTTAATAATATTTTAATTCAAGTAATTTTTTTTTAAAGTTTATGGGGTTTTAAATTATAACCATTTTAGCCACATTTGGGCTCAAACTGTGATCTGTGCAACTTCCAAATAATGGGCAGCAACAATTATTGTATTATGAGCAGAAGACATGTCATTACTGTTTATGTTGGTCAGTCTTCTATTCAGTTTATTGTGTTTCCAAATATCATTAAGGGTCTTGCTGTGGGGATGATGAAGGAAGAATGGACCAACAAACATAATTCCTATATTTTGTTGTTGAACAGTATTAAACATCTAATGTTTGCTTAAATAAAAAATAGATTTATTAGACTTTTTAGGGTGTGCTCTCAATATGCGGAAGGTTATTTTAATTTACAATAAATGTAAAAGATATTTAAAGCTCTGTGTGGTTTTAAAACAGAAAAGTTATTTACATTTCTTTACTATCAGTAACCTGCATACTGTAGGAGGGCAGCATACAGTATTTGTGCTTAAGTAAAAATAGCACTACTTCATGATATTTTTACTCAACTAAAAGTAGCAAAGTAGCCTTTAAAGAAATTACTCAAGTAAAAAAAGGATTTGGCAAAAACACTACACAAGTACTAAGTAACTGACTTTACTTTCAACCCATGATCAAGTCAATAGAAATAATATTTCTGGAGTTATAAAACTTACTAAATCATTAGGTATAGTATGTTATAACAGGTAAATCACTGTGCACCATTTACTGTATTTTAAGGGGGACTGAGCAGACAGAAAATAAAATTTAACCGATAAGTCTTGGTTACAAATATGAAGAAAGTGTCTCTCAATAAATAATAATAATAATAAAAAATAAAAATAGAAAAAATAGTAAAAAGTACAATGTTTTAAAACTACTCCTAAGAGTCCATTCTTTAAAGGAGTTACTCAAGCAAACGTAACTGAGTAAATGTAACTACCTACCTCTAGTAAACTGTCTGTCTATTCCACAGGCTCCATGGTGCTATGCTTATAAATTGGTTAAAGTAATAAAAAAATGTATTTCAATGTTTCTACTATAAAGATATTTCCTTAATCGTAACTTAAAATATGTGTTTATTCACCAGTATGATCAGTACATTTCAATTATCATTTAGATTAGTAATAAAAATTATTACACATTATCAAGGGTCGACCTATTCCATAGTTTGGAAACATTTTCACACAAGTCAGATAAGCACAATGGTCAACACGGCCCTTGCCTTTTAAATAACAGCCACTTAGCTCAAAGCAGTGTCAAATGGGACACATGAAGTATCACTTGGAGATGATGACTACTTAGGGTAGGCTATAAAACCCACCATGGCACACTAAAAAGACAATGTGACCAAAAATACTGACTGATAACTACTTGACGACAGCTGCATTCTGTAATCAAGTAGCTGCATTCTGCCCCTCTTCCCCATTTTGGCAGAGGGACAGAAACAGAGCATTTTGACTGACCATAGAGTTTTTCTGAGGCTATTGGTTAGCCTGGATGGGTTCTTAGAGTGCTCCATCCAGTGTTAGTCTGGGACACATAAAGAACAAAAAAATAGATTATGTTACTAAAAAATAACTCCTGTTCTTACAAGTGCACTTGACACTGGTTCCACTCTTGTTTTAATCATAAGTTCAATAAGGAGGTATATGGGGGAAGGCCATTCTCATTTCAAGTACTACAAAAAATACACACCAACGGTTTGAACTACTTCCACCACAGGTTTATTTCTTAGACTTAATTTTTGGAACTTCTGTTTCTTAGAAGCACTTATCTGTAGCAATAGTCTGGAGCACCTGTTGCCAATCTTTCTATTGGTAAACCAACTGATACTTTTACTTCATACATTTAACAAGTGTTATGTCTGTTCAAATATGGCCAGCAAAACAAGCTACCAGAATAGACTCCACTTCCCCCACTCCACTTCCATTCACCCCAGAGTAAGGAGCAAGATTTTTTTTCGCAATGATTCAAGCACACCTGCTGTGAGGTTCAAAATAAGGGAAGAAAAGGAGCCAAAAATTTGCCTGCCCAGAAAAACATAACCCCCTTAGGATACCCTAAGGCAGATCTAGGCCCAGGCAATGCTTCCCCTTCTTTCAAAACCCCCAAATGGACAACATCAAAGCCCTACTTGACTACATTGACAGCAGCTGCTCCTTCCCAGGCTTCCAGGTTACCAGGAGCCCACAAGACAATATTGGGACAAAATCTGCAATGATGTCACTCTCCTCTCTAAAAACCAGGTGAGCTGCTCTCAAAAAGCCAGTTTAAGTTTAGTGAACTATAATAATGTGTTAACACTGGCCACAAAGTCTGTGGCAAAAGCATTGAATTTATATAGTAACCCTACAAAAACCGAGTGGACAAGAGTGGTGAAGAGGTCAGCTGTGAACTCAGTGCGATGAAAGCGGTCACCTCCGAATAAATAAGACATTGAGCACAATCCAATCACTCCTACAACTTTTCCTATGCCCTATATCCTCAACATGCTGTTTGATCTGCAACAGAAATAACTTTTTCTTTATGGGGGTTTTTACTCATGCAAAACCTGTAATAAAGCCAAGATTTGTTAAATAAATGGCCAAACTGTTTTAACTGATTCTTGAAACTAAGAGGTAAATCAATTTCTTCAATTAATGCACTACTTGACCTGTTATATGTTTAAATACAAAGCTATGCCTTTATAGGGCATGATGTTTTGAAACCTTGCTCTGTGATGTTTCAAGTTAAGGATAAGTGTTTCCCGAACCCTTATCCCTAAACATTTTAATGTGTCACCATTAAATGGGCAATTAATTGCACTGGATTTTATTTGGATTTATTTATTGTATAAATCTGGTATTAAACAAAAGAATGTGCACACAAAATTAAAACCACCTGTCCTATTCTACTGTTTTATTAGATCTAATCCCAATAACACACAAAAATGCATTAAAAAACATTCTTGGTTTAATGTGTCAAAATACATAAATTGCCAAGAAATACTGGAGGCCCTAAAGTTTGGATTCCCTTACCTTAATTCCAACATAGTCGACTGGAATGATTGGTTTCTCCAGTGAAGGCAGACAAGACTCATCTAAAGGCTCTCCCACCATCACCTTAGTCGCTACATTGATAAAGTCGACACCAATTGTTTTAGATACAAAAGGGAACGACCGCGATGCCCGCAGATTACACTCTATTACCTACAGGGGAGACAGGACACAAACAAGACATAGCTTTTATTAAAAAGTTAAAGTTATTTCAGCCTTAGCAGGGTTTAAAAGTTAAAACTGGAAGCTTAGAGAACTACATTTTAAAAATTCATAAACATAATATTTGACTGTATGATCTGGTGAACTGTAAGGTGCTTTGAGATGACATGTGTTGTGAATTGGCGCTACATAAATAAACTGAATAGAATTGAATAATATACCTTTAGCCCAATCACAGATAGATACATTAATACATACATGCATATATTTATGTGCAATCGAGCTGAAACATCCAGAATGAAAGCATCACTGATCATTACATCTCTCCAGCCTGACAAGTCATTTTGAACATAAAGTGATTTCAATTTTTAAGAAAACTACTTTTGCTGTAGCATAGTGTGAAAATGTCAATATATCATTTGGTCATACCAAGGGGGCATATTACTTACCATGACATCGTTGCCTTTAATAAGGAATTGGGTATTAAAGGGCCCTGAAATTTCAAATGCTTGTGCAATTTTACGGGTGGCAAGTTTAACCTGAAAGCAGGAAAACAGGGAAAACACATATTCAGAAAAGATACAAGGTTTTCTTTCGTAGGTTTTATATACTGGAAAACATAGCTTAGGAAAAAAACTGAGCATTTATTGCCATTACTTTGTGATTTCCTTTGTTCAATTAAGAAATGTGCCTCAACTCTGCTGTCATTCGATATGTCAGAGTATCTTACATGCCTCAAGAGGAAATTAAGAAGTAACAAAATTAAGAAAAAAAATGTTTATCCAGGTTTTGTTTTAATTGAATATCCACAAACCCTGAACATAATCTGACTGTAGTGCGGTGAACTACAGTACCAGTAACCAAAAAAACTAAAACTGAGATGGCAAAAATCAAAACTACCTCCATCAGATGCATGAGGAGGCAAAGGTCAGGAAATTATAAAACATGACTGCAAGCCCCTATAAAAAGCCTGAAATGAAAAAACAAAAGTTGTGTTTATGCCTCAAAGTGTAGACCTTAACTTAGGAAAGGGTGGAAAAAAGTCATTGAATCTTGGAGGATCACTGCAATAAAGCTAGTGTTTAATTCACTGTTAGCTTATGAATTCAGAGCTCAGTGATTTCATCAAGACCTTGTGAATAGTTTTTAAACGGAGTCTTCAGAATTCTTATTTCTTTTTAGAAAGCCACAGACCAAAGACTTGTTAGTCATTTAGTTTACATTTCAAATGCATCATGTTGTGCTACAAAGAAAATTTTTGCTGTAAATATAACATAGAAATAAGCATTCATCATCAGCACTTAGTAACGACACAGTCAAGGAACACTATGGACAGCGGAAACATGCTAGACGAGGACAGCTTTTTGCCGTCATCTTTTCTTTATTTAGAGGAGGAAAGCGAGGACAACGTTTTTTAGAAGATAATGTCAGGGCGGCATAAGCTTTGTTTGGTGTAGAAGGCTTACAGCCCTACATGTTGGAGCCCTTGCCTTGCAACGCTGCCAGTTCTGTAAGCTCTACGCCTGCTGAAGACACAGACGTCCATTCCTGTGAACACTGGGACTTAACTCAATGGTAAAGTAAATGATTCTTATTTCTTATCTAAACTGTTGTGTATATTAGCTGCGACATATGACTCAAGATGCTATGACCGAAAAAATTTGATTGAAAGATGACTGTTGATATATGACTGGCTGAATTTAGGTGTACAAGCTGACATATAACTAACTGGCCTGCATAAAATAACAAAACCCCCGACCACAGATTTTATGAAAGGATTTTATTTATTTTTTTTAATAGAAATTTTCTAACTTTTGGGACAATATGGTCTGATAAAGAGTGCATTTATTTACATGTTTAAGCCAGAATGATAAAAAATTTAAATGCGAGTTCCCTATTACTTTAATTGTATTTTTAACATATGGAGTTGATCTCAGCTGCATTAATGCAGAAAACAGCTTACTATGTTGTTTTTGAATGCACATATACATTTTCCACTGTGGAATATTCATTCAACATTAAGCTATCATGATTAGAGAAATGCAAGAATAACATGCATGAGTCGTCACAAATTTCAACTTGAGAGGATTTTTCACAACTCAAACAGGCTAAAATACTAAATACAAAAAAGGCTTAAACTGATGAATAAAGGCTCAAACTGATGTTTTTCAATATGTACTGTGATGAGGAGGGGAGGTGCATTTCACTGTGGTGTGAGGTGGGACCGGTGGGGACAATGGTACTGATTATTGGGGGTTTTGTGGCTGGGGGGTGGTGTAAATATGGATTTTAGCCTGATGTGTTTGTGTAGGTCTGTATATGTTGATTTATATGTATGTATGTAGATGTATATATTTTTTGGGATTACGTGTTCCTGACGTAACCAAAACTACTGCCCTCTGAAGACACACCCCTCTGGTGGAGGTTTTAAAAGAGGTGACTTCCTGTTCAACTTCCAATTTTGCCGGTGGCCCTATGCTGCGTAATGCTAGTCTGAGTGCTTCCAAGCTGAACGCTATGCTAAGTAGCAACTAAATCCCTCCAGAGAAGTCTACCTTGGCTGGACTGAGTCAGACTGCCTTTTTCCTGTGATTCAGAAGGAGCTGAATGGTTTGTTTTTATTCTTCCTGCGATTCCAACAAAGTTGAAAGCAGTGTTCCCTGAAGTCTGCTGCAGCAGAAAAAGAGAAGAGCTAATTCAGCTCTGCTAACCTAAATCTAACCACTGAACAAAGGGGTCTCAATTGCTGTTCACCAAAGGACCTTTAGACCTATTACAGCCTGAGACGGAGAGGCATAGAAGCACAGATAAACTGCTGATTGAAAGCTGTGTCTAAAAGCTAACTCCGTAGGTAAAAGGGAGAGGTCCCGTGCTACCGTAAGTTATAAAATTAACCCCCTTGCAAAGCTGCCTCTTATTATTGCATCAAATTGATCCAAAATCTCTTTGAGAGCAAATTTTGGACGAACGGACTGGACAGAAGACACGGCCTCCAGAGAGTAGGACTGAGCCGAAGACCTTCGCTCCACTATACCAAAACAGTAACATCATGCATAAGTGCTCGGCTTCGATGAACTAGGTATAATAGTCGTGTTTGTTTAACTGAGTGCTAATCCTCACTGCAGACTGAACCACTTACATGTGTCTGAAGCTAACTGCTGCATTGGACTGGCTAGCATTGGTGCTCCAGCACTCCAGCACCAATGCTAGCCAGCACCAATGTTTGAGGGTTTTGCTTCTATTTATGTTCAGATGAATTTAGTTAGTTTGGAAATTGGTATTTGGTTTTGTTGATGTTTACTAGTTTTATTTGTGTGTATTTTGTTGATTCATTGTCTGAAATAAATTCCTATTCATTCATTTATTATCACTACGTTTATTGGATACACCTTTATTATTTGATTTTATGCATTGTTTTGCTTCTAAAATGTGTGATAGATGCAAATGCTCCTTAGAAAATAATGGTTTCACTTGACATGATAGTAGAACTTATTTTCCCCATGTTGTTGGTTGTATACAAATGATCTGAATTTCTCATTCTTAACATCAAAAAGTTAACACCATTGTAATACAAAGAAGTCATTATCAAGTTTAAAGAACTATTTTCAGAGAATTTAAACTCTGTGACAGGATGTTTATCCTTCTGGGATTTTCAGCTTCATTCAACAGATTTTATGTTTTTCAGGCAAAGTCTGATCTTACATTCTTAAAGTCACAGCTAAGATCAAAATGTAGTGACTCCAAAACAATTTTCTTAATCAGTTTCTGTGAAGATTTAATGAGGGAGTGTAAATTGTATCTTTAGGTTCTGCTTCAAGATACAGCATCTGTTTACAGACGGTATTCGACATACTTTTCAAACAACTATTTTTATTTTCTCAAACCACTCTGACAGATGTCCTTAGGACATGACATCAGCAGCTCTTTTGCCATTTTCACTTTTTTGAGAATCTACAATATGGGAGTGAGTTTGAATTCTAGTAATTTGCGGTCTCTAAAACATTCAGACCTGACCATCTCTTTGGTCTAAAGTTTAGCAACTGTAGATGTCAATGTCAAGCACTTGCTTCTTAGTGAGTCATGACTGATTAAGCTTGTAAAGTCTTCTTTTTCTTTTACTAGTATACAATGTTTATTTGACACCAGTTAGACTGAAAAGTGCTTTGATGTTAATAATTCTTTTTTGGGGGGGGGTAAAAAGATGAGTTTATACAAGATTATTAGTTAAATTTACTGTGATTCTACAGCAGCATTTGAACTATCATGAAGATCACAGAGACTAAGGGGCAGTATTAATCTAGTGTGTTGAGGCCTAAGCAATCAAGCATCAATGGTAATGAAACTGTTCAACACAGTAAAGTCTGTTCTGTTTCAGCAAAGACAGCAAGGCTTCCCTTTCCCCAGATACCTCATCCAGTTCTTTAGGCTGAGGCATTCAAGGGTGAGCCAAGAGACATCCCTCTAGTCATTTCTGGGCCTTTTACCAAGGGGACTTGCTTTGAACTGTACTGTACATACTTTGGAGGCATTCAGGGATCTGCAACAGATGTCTAAGCTTCCTCCATTGACCCTTATTGATGTGAAGCTGAAGTAAATCTACATCAAGCCTCTGTCTGATAGCCAAACTTCTCACCCTACACTAAGGGAGTGCTTAGCCACCCTGTGAAGGAAGAGTATTTTGGCTTCTTGTATTCAGGATATTGTCCTTTTGGTCATGGCTGTGATTTCTGCATTTAAAGCCACACAGGTGTGGTAAAAAACTATATTTAATTAATTCATTTTATTCATGTAGTGTTTTGTTTACAGAGCCATCTCTTTATTTGGAATTCATTAATCGCCACTACATTGTATTCCAAAATTTGTGTGCACATATTGGTTTAGCCTGTTTTTGTTATAATTGTGTTTAAACTATATTCTGTTTGTGTTTTGCGGTTGGGCCAGTCCCTAGGCTGAGGAACCAGCAGCTAAGTTAATTTAGCTGAGTTAATTTTAGCTGAGTTAATTTGGACCAAACCACATCGGTGCGATGAGGGGATTATAATTCATTAAGTTAACTTAAGTTTTTGTATGTTATTCCTAATGTGTTACTTTTGTAGATTGATCAGCCACTATTTAAGTTAATCTTTGTCTCATTAAGGGAGTTAAGTTTGTTTGAGTTATTCTTGTTCTGTTATTAGATATTTTGAGTAATTTTTGTTTCCTTGACCTCTTTTCTGGATCAATTTCTTGACCAAATCTTTACCTGTTACATTTGATCTTTTTTGGGTTAAATAAAAGAACCCTGTTTTTTAGGCCTTTACACCTCTACCTGACTGCCCTTACTGCTTGGTCCATCACAATGGTCTATATTTCACCACAACATACCATTGTCTGTCTGTTAATCTCTTACTCCATTCTACCTTCACTCATTAAAAGAACCCCAGATACCCAAACTCCTCCACTGGTGGCAGGAACTGTCCTCTGACTAAAGCCATGGCCTCTAGCTTGAAGTAACTGATCTTCATTGTGACTGATTCGCACTCGGCTATGAACCGACTCAGCACTGCTGTGAGTCTTGAGTCAGGGGGTCAAAAAGGCGAGAAGGATCATGCTCCCCAAGGGTAAAATTTTGCCAATCTAGTAAAGTCAAGTTGAACGATGAGGCGAAGTTACAATCTAGTGTGAATTTTAAATATTTATACATAGTCAGGAATGCAAGTGGTTTTAAATTCATAAAGCAAAGAAATAGAGCATTTTTTCTACTTTGCTGATGACCGAGTTTTTTTTTCATACAGTTTATCAAGCTGCAAGTGTAGAAACAGCTTAGTGCATAGCTGATCTTAATGAGCCTTTCAGACAGGATGCAACGCACACATTGTTATGCTATGAAACCCATTATTTTTAATGGTTCACACCATTCAAGCACAGCAGGTAAAGTAGTTTGCTAGAGTTTAGTGTGCCATACATGTATTGAGCATACATGTAATAGACTTGAATACATCAGTCTTATTATAGACTTAGATTGGCATCTGACATGAGATGAAAAGCATCCTTACAATACTGAATACCACTGGCTTCCTTTCACATCTGCACATAATGTAGGTAGAAAATTTAGTAACTAAAAGCTAATGTTAGCTTAGGTAAGTATACATAGCCTTAAAGTCTCTCAGGCCGATTCCTTCAACATCCAGCCACGTCCAAGGATTCAATTCAAATCACTGTTATCTGCATGCAGGTCAGCACACAAAACCTGGTCTTGTCAGCACAGTCCAATCAGGTAGCAGTATTCCTGCTAATAGTTCAATGCTGTAGCTCTAGCAGGAAAATCCATCCATCATCTCCCACTTATTCCGTCAGGGTGGTGGTGCTTTTCGCCAGAATTCTACAAGCAAGAGGTGTGGTTCACCCTGGACAAAGTTGTCATTCTGTCACAGGGCAACACATGCTGGTGAAGATTCTCAGTCATCCAGGTAATAGTCATTCCAAAAAAAGTATTTAAGAAAAAAAAACACTGGACTTTGTTTCCAAGTTTGAAGACATTCAAAATGTCCCGTTAGGAATGGGGAGTCTTTAGGGTTGTTTTTTTAACCCAAAACAAGGTTTTTGGGCTACTGTTTAAAGCTTCAAACTCAATGTTAATTTGAACCTTTTGAATTGAAAAAGCTTCCTGGATGGGAGGTGAAACGTCTTCAAACTTGCAAACAAAGTCCAGTGGATTCTTTTTTTTACTTTTTTGGAATGACAGGGCAACTCACAAACACAAAACTATATACAACCATGCACACTTACACCCTCAAACCTAAGGACAATTTAGAGATACCAGTTAACCTAACAGTCATGTTTTTGGACTATCGGGAGAAACCGAAGTACCTGCAGAGAACCCACATATGCTAACGGATAACATGCAAACTCCATGTGGATAGAACCCGGAAACTTCTTTTTGAAAAGCAACAGCTCTAAAAACTGTGCCACTGTGCAGCCATAGTAAGCTTTTTAAAATCAGCATCCCCTTTTTCAAGCGCACACAAACACCCTCTGCTCACTATCAACTGGGCTTTGAGCCGCTCTCATGATAAACCGAACTTCTCCACTCCCTTTTTTTATCAATTAGATCCAAAGAATCAGGTAGGTGACAGATTTGGAATTCTAAACAGCACATTTTGTTGAAAGGTAAGCACGTAATTTGCAAGAGGCAAAGACAACACTCTTCTGATCCCTAAACAAGACCCCCTTTGGTCCTTGGCTGTCAACATCAGTTTATCTTTGACCAATAGTAGGATGGCAAAAATATTAACCTTCTCTAAAGCTCCCTGGCTGATGGATTGGGTTGGAAGGATCAAGGTGGCATCCCCTGAGTGTACACCAGCATCTTCTACATGCTCTGTTATAGCATGGACAAGAACCTAGAAAGAAAGATATATGTTAAAATTCATAAAAAAGAATCAATTATCCTAGTAAAGACATAGCTTTGCAAAGCAAAAGAGAGGCCTTCCCATCACTACTTATCTTTCCACAGCTATTCCTTTGAGATTACAAAAAAGCTTTAGGCTACAAAACGTTTTTTTTTTTTTTTTTTTTTTATTTTTTTTTACCTTAACTTTTGTTGACCATTCCGGCTTTTGTTTTTATTTTTTCCGGGGTTGTTTCACCTTCATTTTTATATAAAAAAAAATGTTTTAAAATAAAATAGGAATGTTTAGCACAATGACACAGCTAAAGGGGTGTTCTACTGCTATTTTGTCTTTTTTATAAGGAAATATCCTAGATCTACTCAGCTTTCTGAATGTATCCTTTCTTATAAAAGCATAATGTAATATGCCTTATTTTGGTCAACTCTACGGTGTTACATGACTTTTTTGCATTATCCTTAACCCCAAGTAAAGAAAAGTCCAAATGCAAATTTTTGAGTCAAAAGAAAAACTCTGTACGCTCCACCCAAAGGAGAAAAGATATGAATACACCACCCCCAAATCTGTGCAAGGATGTGGCTGTAAATGAGCTGCTGTGTCATTAGCTCATTGGAACTGCTACTAACCACAGTGTTCATTAGCACTCTTTAGATACAGCCTGTAATTAATACGTATTATCTCCAACTTTTTCCACTCTCCTGTGCACATACACACAAGTTATGAGGGCTGTTTGGTATTCTCTGAGTGGACGGCTTGTTAATGTGATACTGAAGATAAAGGAGGAGCTGTATTCAGAGAAGACAGAGGGAGAAAATCTGCCGTAGAAGTGGATAGCCCACGTACAAACTGACACCCTTGAAATGACTCTTGCAGGCGAAACAATAGAAAAACAGACAGGGTGTTCAGGGGAAATCACTAACTGCAGCTTACTCTGCAGATGGAACGTTAGGAGTATTTAAAAGTTATGCTACTGTTATTCAACTACTTTATTTGTCTAGAGAGGAATGTGCAATATCGTTCTGCATTCAAAGAAAAGAGTAATGACAAAAGGAAAAATGTTGAATAACAATGATGAATAACAATGACTTTATGTGAAAAAATAGTAAGTCTAACAAATAATGTAAAAGTCTAATATGCAGACTAAGCAGTATAGTTAAGATTGCAAAAATAAGCTTTATAATTTTTGTAATAAGAATCAAGAACAACAAGAATAATAACCTTCCCACTGCTAGCCACAGCATCCACTTCTACTTCTCTGGCACCTCGTATAAACTTTGTGATAACGACTGGATGATCCTGAAAGAAACACAACAGGAAGATTGCCTTTTTTTAACAGAAGTAAATAAGAAAAAGGAGTCCTTGGTGTGGACAGTATTCATGTTCTATGTAATGGTATTCTTTCAACAGCAACGACTGCTTAAGGTTGAGGTAATAATATACAATGATATTCCAGATTTATTAGCACCTAAAATATTGGTTTTCATGAATTAAGAGAAACCTTAGTTTGTGACCTCTTAGCTGTGCCTGTAAACAGATCACATAACAGAGTCAGTATGATGGCATTCTGTAACATGATGCTATTTTGGCATACTGACTAAAACATCCATGAAAGGTAATTTATCAATAAATTTGGAATTGTTTAGTTTTGTGGAAGGCAAATTACTAACTATGATCAAAATTAATATGAGTACGTACTCATATTAAAGCCCCTGTCACACCTTGACCAATTAGAACAGCATATGCCTGACGTTAGAATAATATGGCAAAAACGCTGTCATATGTTGCATAAGTTATGGGTCAGTTGTAATGAGTTATGAGTATGCTGAAACATGCTAGCACACGTTGACATACGATAAATTTTGAGCATGCTCAAAATTTCCCGACGTATGCCAGCATATGCCCATACATGGGCCATAAGTTTCAGATACGTTGTCTGATCGTTGACATACTTTAAGTGTAAGTTACTCTTAAGTCATGGTGTCATAAGTTATGTGTAACTTATCAAGAACTTATCTTGTATAAAAAGGGGGTTCACAGGAGGAAACCGTCAGTTTCCCCATCATAGGGTGAGCGAGAAGGTGAGTGTGAGCGATCCTCCCCTTCATTCACACCCACGGCCATGACTTACAACCTTCATAGCAGACATGATGCTGAATCTGCTACGATTGCAAACCTTCTTTCTTTCGTTTTTCTTTTTCTTTATTCTTTTTTTGGGGGCGGGTGGTAAAGAGCAGCTAGGTTAACACCGCAGTCAAAGAAATCTATTTATGCAGGCGCATAAATGCCTCCAGGTGCAGCTTTAACTGATACAAGCATCATTTTATGGGAATTACACTGCCGTGCATTATGTGTAAGTTAGGCTGTCGTTGGACATAAATTCCAGACTCGTTATGAATATGCATGTATACACCAAAAATGTAAAAAATACATAGAAAGTTCAGCATATGCCAGCGTTTTAGGAGATTCTGGGACATCTGGCATACGCTCTCTAAATCGGCAATGTATGACAGGGCCCTAACCAAGAAGCTGCAAAAGAAAAAAAAAATGCCCTCAAGTGCACACATAGAAGAATGAGAACTGGAGGTACAATCTTAACTGTCAAGAAAGTTAGTATAAATATACTTTTATATATTTTATTAAGGACTGTCGACTTGTCCAGGGTGTACCCCGCCTCTCGCCCATTGACTGCTGGAGATAGGCACCAGCACCCCTCGCAACCCCACTCGGGACAAGCGTGTAAGAAAATGGATGGATGGGTGGATGGATATTTTATTTAGCTAAATTTATAAAATTTATTTTGCTATTTTGCTGTTGTAAATAATGAGGTTTATAGCCATTACAGTTCGGCAACTAATGTACAGTAATACTGGTCATAAAGAATATCTTGAGGAAAGAATCAAGTAAACCACTACTATTACTATTACTGGTTATAACTGAAAATTCGACAGTAGATAGATTTATATTCTAAATTTAGCTTTCATTCATGTACACTATATCAGGTTAATATTTTAGAACGCCAACAACTACAGCAAAGAAATAAAAAAACTTAGTCTAATAAGTCTTCCTTAGAAAAATTTGCTAGATTCTTTAAGGGCCATTGCCTTAAAAATCCAACAAAATATTGAAGTATGTTATTTGTAAAAAAAAAAAAAAAAAAAAAAAAAAAAAAAAAAAAAAGCCATTGTAGTGCATGATTGTCCCTGAGTTTTTCATTACAAAAGACTAGATACACTTCTGGACAAGGTTTTGGCGCTTTGGTATCAAAGAAGAGCCGGTGCAACATCGCTAATGAGTTGAAGTCAAATGTATGGGTCATAGATCAAAAAACATAAATCTGATTATGTTTTCACATACTGTGTAAAAGACTAGTCTGCATTAAAAATAGGTATACTGGGAGAAAAGTCAGAGCTTCACCTTAAGTGATTGGGTCAAGTAGATGTTAAACCTGCTCAGAATAATAGTAATCTTTCTGGAATGATCTTTAGGTATTTGTCTTTTGATCACTTAGGTGTTTCTGATAGTTTTTGCTTTTTTGTTTTTTTTTTACTGAATTAGTTCATTTCTTATTTAAGTTTTTTAAGTTCATTAAGGTGTTCTACTCTGAGCGTTTACAATTATTTATCTTAATTCAAATCCATTTAGTGTATTAATATAGTGGCAATTCACAACACATCTGAAGGCATTTTATGCAGACAACTCTACAAATCATACAACCAAACAGTATTCTCTAAGGATATATTCTCAGTCTTTTTCCCCTTGATTTTTTGTGACTAAGCTGTCCAGTTAAGCTTCCTTTGTGTTAAGTGATATGCCACCTTTGGCCAACCAGTCAGCAGCTTTCTTCAACTAACACTATTTGCCTCCCTTTTCCCAGGCAACAGGGCATGCCCCTGAACTACCAAGAACCTTTCGATTGTCTTAGACATGCTGGATCCACCTAGTGTTGAAAGACAGCGTGTTTTTGAAACAACACATACAATATGTATCTGCCCATCCAAGTTCTACCTATAGGAGCAGCACATGGGACAGGTAACTTTGGGTTGTCAGGATTTTTAGAAACAGCCGTGTCCTCTAGGAGGTATTTGCCTGCTTTTTAGACAGTAAGAACAACATTCTGCTCCACTGGTCAGCAAACTTAGTAATGTATGTACTCATGTGCCTCTCATAATTTTGTAATTGTAGATGTTGTAGCTTTTGGAAAAATGCAGTTGAAAAAAAAAAGATGAATATGATATTCTTATGCACTGTCTAATATTTGCTTTCAAAGGAAGCTTAAGTTCACATCAGTTAAAATAAAAGGGGTATTTTATGGTTTTTAAATAAATCAGATCTGATTTTGATTATCTTTAGTTTAAAAATACTGGAATAATCAAGAGAAATGGATAATTCTTTACTCTGAAGAAAAACAGTTTGACATTCTCATTAAGTTTGAGAAAGTAACATTTTTAGGGCTTCCTTGGTTTTAATATTGAGTCTGAGTTATTTCACAAGAACTTAATATTTCTCTCCCCACTTACATGTTTAACATAATAAAACAATAGAGACGTTACATAATAATAACAGTAATAATGAGTCATAAACCCACAGAGCGGGGAATGATGTCACAACAAAATAAAGAGCATTCAAAATGGAGATCACAAAAAAAGAATTTTGATGTTTGTCTTTACTTTTGTTAACTTAGAAAGAAGTGCTTACTTTACACTTTATTCACAAAAAACTGGGTGCTTGAACCCCTACTGGATACAGAAATCAGAAGATTTTAAACTTCTGAGTACCAACTAATTCAGTTGGATTTTCTACTTTATTAAGTGGTCTTTTTGTTTTCAGACAGATAGCTTTCGACAGTATATAAAGATAATATAAATACCACAAAAAAGCATCCCTTTTAAGTAATTAAATAATAGTTTATACATAATAATGTTTAGTATCACATTCTTTATATTTTTATTATCACTGAATCACAGGCGACAGACATCAACTGAGATACTGAACTCTCTTTACTTTAAAACTGTATAAATTATTTAAAACTAGGTTAAAAGGCTTGTCTTAAAGCTCTAAATGAGCACATGCCTTTTCTCCCAGTTCCAGATAGAGACCAATGAATTTTCTGGTCATCCCCAAATAACCTTGGTGTTTAGTGAGGTGGAGGCACACAGTACTAACCAGTACCTTTGACAGTTGGCAGCATGAGTTTTAATTGAAATCAGAGGGAAACCGCAGCACATGCACTCTCCCAGTGCTTCTGTGTGAAATGGTTTAAAGGTAATTCTGTACTCAGCAACTTTGTTTAATATAAATCAAAGGACAAAAACATGAAACATTTTAAAAATATTAGGAGGGAGAATGTCTGTTTCACATGTGCAGACATGTACGCTCAGATTTAACACTTTCTCTCACCTGGGAAACCTGTGTAGCCTCCTCCAAGAAGCGTTTCATTTCTTCCTCCCCATGGACAACATTCATGGCAGAGCCACTGGTGAAACACATGCAGGCAGAAGAAGGGAGAGAAAAAGGAAAAGAAGAGAAAAACATGAGGGCACGGAAGATGAAGAGAGGCGAGCCAACAGGAGAACATACAAGCTTCAAATGATTGTTCAAAACACTCATTATCTCTCTATTGCATCACTATTACCATAGGGAACAAGGTCTGGAAACAGTCAAAATGAGGAGCGAGAGAGAGTAACGGCGAAGAACAGCTATTTAGGTCGAAAAGCACTTCAGGCTCTTGAAAATGAGTTCAGAACTTCATCATTAAAAAAACAACAGATTTAGGCTAGTTTTGTTGTGGTTGTTGTTTTTGATTTTAGCTGGGTTATCATCCTGTTCGAAATGAAGGGTTTGAAAGAAACAGGAAGAGGTAAGGCCGAAGGCTTCAGTGAAATCTTTATTCCTCTCTTCTCTGCGGCTCAAAGGCAGACATATGTTCAACCCCCTAAAGAATACCGGCCCTCCATTTGAATAGGAGAGATTTGATTTAGAATGTACTCAAATCAATCTTTGACATGTGTGACATCTAATTTTGGCATCAGTATGCTCTGGATTTAGAACGAATAATCAAAGTGAAGCAATGATTTCAATGTATTGCATGTTTCAAACTAATTGCTCACAAGTAAGGACCTGGTTTTCAAAGAATCCAAATAATGAGTGTTAATTGTGTTAGCAAAAAAAAAAAAAAAAGTATACATGCAATAAGTGTTCTGCCCAATTTAAGAAGTAGAGTAATGTCTACTGCAGGAAGTTTGAGAGTGGCTGTAAAACAAAGATGAAGTTACTAGTCATAGAGATGGGGGTAATAATGTGAATCCTTATTCTAAAAACAATGAAAATGATAATCATAATTAATAATAGTTATAGTGTACTTTACATAAAAAGTTAACGAATTAAGAAATGAAAATAAAAAAATAAAAATTTATGTTTACAATCTGATAAGGCGCCTTGAGATGACGTGTTGTGAATTGGTACTATAAAAATAAAAAATAAAATAAACCGAAATGAAATTGAATTGATAATTAAACTTTTAAAAATTTTAAGTTATTACGTATTCAATCCTAAAGTAGCTAAACTCATTAAACGTGCTTTAGATCACATTGTTCCTGGTTGCTGCAGCCGGTCCTACGGTCCAGTTCTACATATAGAAAAAAGTGTTGCTCAATGAAAACACATGATTCAAAAGTGCAAAAATGAGCTTCCCTCTTCCCATTCATCAGTAATGATTCATAGACATCCTGGCTCTTTAAAAGTGCAGGTGAAGTGAAAAAATATCACAGTAAGGAGCTGAGCTTTAATATTTAATATTATTTTTACTAAATTCCTTGAACAGCAAGTGATTAGAGGATAAGAGAAGTGATCATACAAACCATTGTCTGTTTAATAATACCTGTAATAGTGTTTAGAAGAAACAAAAAGAGTGTAAAGAAGGTCCTTTCATGATGTAGATTGAGTTATGCTGGTCATGTTTGGAAATGCAGCAAGGTTTGACAATGATATGCTGATCCACTGCAGACGAGGATTGGAAATATCTGCCTTATTCAGAAGAATGCACAGATTAATATTCCTTTAACATGCACCTTGAGATCCTGATCTGGCGCAGATGCTGACAAGCAATAAGGTAATTTATGCCTGTAATATATAATTATGGTATCACACCATAGTACAGTTGTTTTCAGACATCTAATAGTGCAAGCCAGAGTTCAGCGGGAGCTGAACTGAGACCATCTCTTGCAGCCTAAAGAGTCGGTTGTGCTTTCATACAGTACAGATCCATAGGAACCAAATTTAGGTCTAGATCAACCTAAAACTACAGGTCGGAACAGACCCTTAAATACCCCATTATGGCTTTGTTCCAGGTAAAAAGGTGAGAAAGATTAAAGGTCTCACCTTACCTAATTTTGAAGTTCTAACTACCAAAAATCAAATGCCTTAGATATTCCAAAAAAGTAAAAAAAACAAACCACTGGAGTTTGTTTTCCAGGTTTGAAGACTTTTCGCTTCCCATTCAGAAAGCTTTCTCAATTCAAGCCTTGTTCTTGAAATATGTGGTGGAAAGACAAAGGCCCAGTAGGGTACAGATGTGGTCTGGAGTAAAATTAGTGCTATTGTTTAGATCACTATCTAGCCTTGTTTGGGTAGGAATCAAGTGAGAAAATCATTGCGGTTGAAGCCCTGAATAAATTACTTAACAATGTGCTTATTAAACAAGAGGGGGTAAATTTAGTGTAAATCCCTAAAAATACAAATTCCTTTGAATCATTTTTTTCTGTATGTCTAGTGAGTCGACTTGGCGATTCTTAAGTTTGTCCAGGATAACAGATACCAGTAACAGATACCAATGTGTGAGTGATACAAATTGGAAGTATCCTCATGACCAGAGCGTGCAGACCTGAACAAAACTGAGACAGTAAATGACTCATTCATAAACAACCCCTAATAATTCACCCCGTAACCTTTGAAGTTATGCCAAGTTCAAAAGCCAGTTCCCATCTGTTTTATATAGAATCAGAGAACAATGATTTATCTTTTATTTATTTTTTTCCTGCCTTTCTCAGTTCACAGCTCTAGGACAGTTTGATAATTGAAAAAAATATTAGACCATTGTTTTGTATGTGTGTTCATTCAACTCTTCTGCTGATATACTTTTTTAGAAAACCCTATTTTTTTTCATAACTGCATGTATTGTTATTCAAGTAAATTTCATCATCAAATAAATTTCATTTGTTTCACTAATTAAGAAGTAAAATGTGTCTAAAAGCTAGGTTTCTTTTTTATAGTGTGTTAAGTACCACTTGCATTTCTAAATCTAGTCATTTAAAATCTTAAAAAACAATAAACTAGTAGTCAACTTGCAAACACAATTGAGGTATTTTCTAAAAGCTTTAAAATGAGCTTTGAGCACTGATTGCAAACATGATTGAAAAAGATAAGAGTGTGTTTTGTATAATTGCGAAAGCAGTTGAATAATTTTGATTAGAGAGAGTTCATAAGAATCTAGTACCAAAGAAAAAAGGGCAAAAGCTTCCTTTTTAACAGCATTAGAGACACGATAACTAGGACTTGTAATGTCAAACTTAATTAATGGCAAACATCTCTTTACTAAATTCAATCAGTTTGACATTTGGAAGAGTCAAATGTTATTCCCTGATGAACACTCTTGTGCTTATTTGTCTTTTGTTGCTTATGCAGATCTGTTTTAAAGGAACATCACATCTTTTGCAAGCCCAAAAACATCGGAAACATCAAAAGCCACATGAACTCAGTTATGCAAAGGGATCAGTGACAACCAAAGTTCTGTTTTAGGGTGTCTTCCTGACATCTACTGGGCAGACATTTTACTGCATAAAGGTTGTGGGACTTTTCAAGTCATCAATCATAATAAAAAAGCATTTGAATGATTAAGTGATAACATGATTAATAAAAGCGGTGGGGGTTTACTGTACAAAAGCTGACTGGTGTTTAGGTAATTGTAGCAGCATTTTCAATGTTTTAAATGTAAAATTTTTTTTGTTTTGTTTGTTACTTGCAAACATTGTAGACAAAGATAATCAATTATTGGCAGAAAGTTGTAACCTGACAAATACCACAAGGGTGCTACAAGAGATTGACATCAACATTTAAAAGACTGCTTATGAGTTTGGAATTATGTAATACTAATACTTCAATGGTTTAGAAATTACAAAACATAGACATTACTAAACTTACCTAAGAACATATGACGGTCGAAGCAAGCAAGGATAGCCCACATGGTTGGCGAATGAAAAGGCATCATCCTGGGAAAAACAAAAACACAGAAGATACAAGATGGTTACTGATACAACATGATTCACTGAAAAATTGGGTGGTGACCAAGATTGACTGATTTACAGCTAAAGTGACCCTGACCACTGACTGTCGAAGTCACAGACTGAAAACTTATGTTTTTTTCCAGTCACTAATTAGCCATACATATAGGCCACTACCCACAATGCTTTTTTATTACTGTGTTAAGACACATTATTTGGTATATTCAGAATCTGGCACTCGACATTAAGTTGATAAATATAGTAAGAAAGAGGAGATTAAATTTAAAAGGCACATGTGACATCTATTGTGAAAAAAAAACTGAATACTGTTCATTCAGGCTCTTATAATACAGAGCTATGCATATTGCACTGTAAAAATGTGTTAAATTAAGTGTATTTATCCTTAATTTGAGCAGGTAAAAAAGATGATCTGCCAGTGGAATGAGTGCTTTTAGATAATATGCACTTAAAATAAGACAATGTAGTTGTTGCTCTAATTTTAAATGTATATTATCTTGTACCAATGGCAAAGTGTCTCATTTACCTGCTCAATTCAAGAAGAAACAGACTTAATTAGATATATCCTGGAATGCTTTGTGCGGAGAGCTCTCCTCGCAACGCCACATAACTAATCTTGATAATTAAACTTAGTTATTAGTTATTATGTATCAAGCACACGCTGGAGGAGGAGTTACGTGACCAATGGGGAGCAAAAATTAGAGATCATCTGTCCGAACAGTAGGTTAACTGAGTTCGCTATAAAGGTTACTATATAGTCCTATATAGAGCAAGACCAAAGAGAAATGGGTGTATGCTCTGGCACGCATTTAGTAGACATTCCCTCTCTGGAGCAGGAACAGGGTTGTGCATGTGAATTTTTTTTTGAGTGGAGAGGGCAGGTCTTTTAAAAAAATTCACGAATATCCTCCACAATACCTTTAATTAATAAATTAGTAACAGGAAAAGCAATGGGAAAAGCTTATTTTGAACACTGTTTAATGCCAGTGGCTGATGAACTGTCATTAACTAAAGTTTTTCTTATACGGTTAGATTATTCACACATATTGTTAAACTGAAAGTCAGATTGGAAATCTGGCATATATCTGATCAGTGTACCTTAAGGTTATGCTGGTCTTTAACTATTACCTTTTATAATTTACTTCATATAAAACAGGCATAGGGTCCTTCCCCCTAATGCCAGACAGAGCAGGAAAGGCAAAACAAATATCCTCACAAAAAGGAGAATAACCATAAATGCATCATCTTTGTCTGCTTTAAAAACTTTAATAGTTATAGAATGCACTAGATGAGACTCAGCAGGTATAGATTGTTTGAATCACCATTCAAACAAGCTTTGGAGTTGGATGAAGCAATATAAAATGGCAGCCCAGACAGTGACAGGAATAATAACTAGTGTTTTCGCATGAATTTTTTTTTTTTCTTGTGGAATTTATTCTGATGTTTTTATGTGAAATATATAAATTTCCCATTTTGGCAGTATGTTTGAACTGATTTGATTATGCAAATTTAAATAAATCCATCAGTGATCATCTATAAGGTTGTTAGCAATTATGTGAAATGATTACACTGAACTGTGATAACTAAAAAGTTTTTTACTTTGTTTTTCCCCCAGCATCTTCACCAGAGGAATAAATTCCCTCCATAAAGCTCTCATGTGTCCTCAGTTTGTTTGTCATCATGCCCTCCTGCTGTTATGTTCTTTTCTTTGTTTTGTTTTTATGGCAGATGCAAAGGTCTTTGCAAAGCTTAAACTTGGAATTGTGCTCCAGTAATTGAGGCATGATTTTAGAGATCTTAAACCCCCACAATCTGAAAACATATGACACATAAAGAGTTTAGAGAACAAAGCTGAAAACTGCTCAGATTGATAAGTTAAGGATAAGAGATTTATTAAAATGTTGAGGAACAATAACAGATGGTGACATTGTCTCTATGACAGGAAAGTGGGGCAGCTATTTTCAATTCAGTTTATTTATATAGCATCAATTCACATCTCAAGGCACTTGACAGTTCACCAGATCATACAGTCAAACTGATTCAAAGTTTTAAGGAAAACCAGTTGATTGCATTGACTCATTGACTTGACGGCAATCCCTCTTATTAACCATGCTTGAAGCGACAGTGGAGAGGAAAAACTCCCTTTTAACAGGAAGAAATCTCCCACAGAACCAGGCTCAGTGTGAGCGGCCATCTACCGAGGCCGACTGGGGCTCAAGGAGACAGAATCAGAGATACAAAAGGCAATTGTAAAAGGAGGCCCCATCAACTAGTCGTCTTCATAAAACTAAAACCATCACAGAACTGCACAGATCGCCAAATCGAAATCCTTTTTTTCCCCAAATGTTTTGTCTGACCTCTGAAGAAAAATTGTCATAGCATTACAAAATAAATTAGTCTTTTATTAGAAATGCATCTAATTGTTTTTATTCAGACTAAAAAAAGGATGACTAAACCAATATCTACCTAAAGTATCAATAACTGCAGGCCTAACTTTATATGGAAATGCATTCCATATTATATGTTACGTAGTGTAGGTATGGTGGAGTATCTGTGATGTTTTAAGCCTGTTTCTTGCCCCAAAGGCCCTTCAACCTCCTTATTTTACTCCATAGTATTGTGAAGTTTTTAAAAATAGCAAGAAATCTTTATATAAACTGGAAAATCAGACATCAAAGTAAACATTGCGATGCGATTGTGTATCTTAAAGTATACAGAAGTGATTCAAATGGTTTAAATTAGCAGAGTGATAGATAATCGGATTCAAACTCAGATCCAGTCCTCCACAAGGATATCAAATCCCAGAACTAAATCCAATGGAAAACTCAACAGGAAAAGAGAAGTAAGCAATAGTGGAACTTAACCTTGGTACAATATCTTAGAGTTGTGCATACAGTAATATTTAACATCCCCCTCTCCTTGTGCATTCCAACTAAATACTAAAATGTTAAGCAAAACAATGTGCTATTCTACTGGAATAGGGGTTTTATAAAAAGCATTAAATCCAAGAGGGCCAAAATATCTGCTAAACATTTAATCATCAAATGCATTAACACCAAGAGGTCCAAAATATCTGTAATACATTTAATCAAAAAAGTAATTTTTCCCCATACGGTATAATACATTTAAAGAAATAAAAAAATAATAATTTTTAGGTGAGAATTTATGCTACTGCTTAACCAAGTATGCTCTGAAAACACATGAATTAAAGCTGCGCTCGAGAGAGTGCATAATGTAGCTAATCCAAAAAATAAAAGAAACAATGTAAGCGCTTTTCAGCCTATTTCAATTTACTTTTTTCCTCTACCCAATAAGTTTCTATGAAAAATGAGAGAATTATGAGTAGGAGCAGTGGAAAGAGTCTGGTAGTTAAGGAAAAGACTGTATGCCTTACTCCTCCTTGTCATCATTATCATTACCACGCTTTCTCCTCGCTTCCGTCTCTCCTCCTGTTTAGCAGTTTCCTCACATTCATTACCCACAGTTTCCTTACCAGGTGAGGTAACATTTATAAACACAAAAGAGCTTCAGAGAAACACGAGACTCCTCTCCCCTCACTTGCTCTAGGCTATTAAAAACAAAATACCTCCTAAAGAGCAACAGATACCGTAGTGAACATGTAAATATATAGAGAGACTATCAGTTCTCTGTATGTTTTTCTGCTAATAATTAAATCTAAATTGATTTATTTGAAATACAATCTTAATTCCGTATTATAATAGAATATATATATATATATATATGTATATATATATATATATATATATATATATATATATATATATATATATATATACACATTCTATTATACATACAACTGTAAACATCCAGCATAGAGAACCAAGAATAAGATAGTTGCAAAAACAAAAAAACAAAAAAGGAAGTGCTCATATGTGGATGCACTGTATATACTGCATATATCCCATGCACCTTTTTTCTTCCTTTGGCACCATCTTCTTCTCCTTTGACTATTTGAGCTGCGATCATGAGATCAATTAAGTAAATGAATCAATTCACCAATACAATTGTTTTAAAAAAATTGCACAATAGCTGAATATTTATTTATGATACCATAACAAAGTACAAGGTACTTTATAATCATTCTATTTTTGTTTATCAATTTATTCTTTGACTAATCAGCTTTGGCAACTAGTAGTGAATTCAAATCAAATTACATTCATTTCAGTTTTTTCAGCATAGTTCTATCTATTTTCTTCTGAACTGCTATGCTTGCTAACTGTCCCCTGGCTTCATAATGGACCCAGGTTTGAGTTTTGTACATCAAGTTCAGCTACAGTGACTTGCTGGCTCTGTCTGAGCAACTTTTAAAGCAAACATGGTGGAAAGAGTGTCTGCTTAATTGAATGAGTTTAATAAGTTGGAATTAACTGAATCAGTTTATAAAGCTGTGAATAGTTGGCCTGGATGCTCTTTAGTGTGTGGATGATCTGTAGGGTTTCACTGCATCAGGTTAGCATCACAAACACAGCTCAAGAGATTAGGAAAAAATGTCCCTTTCTTAACCTTTCAATGCATTCGGTGAAGTCAAACATGTCATGCACCTGCTTTATTGCTGCATGAATATTTTAACCCAGAAAGACTCCCATGGAGAAAAAGCAGCAATTTGAAAGTTTTATGGAGTTGAAAAAATATATACGTTTTTGGTGCTCAGACCCAGACAGAAACAGTTGGTGCTGAATACAGTGGATCTGCTTGAGCAGGAAGATCAAAAATTAAATACGTTTTTCCAAGGGAGCCTGACACTGGTGGTGGAATAGAAGCTGGAGAAAGAAGGGAGCCATAAAGAGGCCATTGAAATAAAGATGGTGAAGAGCTGGAGGAGGGGTGCAGTTCGGGTGGAACTGTAATGTTCTCGGTTTTGGAATTTTAAACACAAAGTGATGATTGGCTAAACTGTTGACATGCATTAGCAGAGGCACACAAGGAGGTGATTAGTAGTCAGGTGACTTTCTCTTAAATACACATTGAGGCTGAATCTAGCCAAAGAAATTAATGTAACTTTTTGATCAGCATATTAGTACAACAGTATTTTATTAAGCATATATAATAAGATATGCAAAATTTAAATTAGAAAGACTTCTGAATAGTACAAATACAGTACATACTATAGTCTTGAATGTTACATTTTAACTGAGAAGATATTTCTTCTTTTGCTGTTAAATTTAAGACTGAATTAACGCCTACGTGTTTGGGGGTTTTCCAATTCAGTGTCAACATATTGGATATTCAGACGACAAATCTGTTTTATTTATTACTGATATTAACATATATTTTTTTAAATTTTTTTTTTTGCAGGCCTAAATATACAAAGTAACAGTTTTAGTGCATTGATTTTGTCATCCTGGAGAAACATACTGTTTTTCTGTTATTTTATTGCTCTTTAAATAATTTCTAAATTATTATTTAATTTCTACTTTTGCATTCTTAAAAGGCATAAATATTCATCAACATACCACAGGAAAACAAAAGAACTTCTTCCCCAGATCGAAACTGGTTAAAGCATTTTCAAAACAAGTCTATAGACGGACGACCAAAAATAGATTTTTTTGTTGTTGTTATTTTTGTTTTAACAGTATCATTTGTGTATATTGTGTTGGTGACATGAAGGTGGTCAAAATTATTCTCATTAAATACCTGCTGTTGCAGATTTATATAAATAAACAAGTAAAAAAAGGTAAATAAAACATTTTCTTTTACTGTTATATTGCTGTGTTACTGTTATTTTATTAATGACCATTATGCCTGCTGTAGCAAATTTGGAACATACCAAATTGACCATTATGCCTGTTGTTCCAAATTTGCAACATACCGACATTTTTGTGCAAAAGTAAAATTAATAATCTCAACATTATTTACTCTACTTAAAGGCAAAAACACACATAAAACATTTTTTTATATACAGCTATATAAATTCAGCCTTTAAGGGCTCAATATAACCAAACCTTTGTTCATCTGTTTTATATAATGTATGGGATCTAAAATGTGATGACATTATGTTTTAGGTCATTGTTAAAAAACAAGAAATTGAATGAAAAGTCATCTTATGGTTTGATAGAACATATTATACACACAAAATACATCCCATAATGCTTCAGTAATAAAATGGAGAACTAAAAAGTTAAACACTAAGTCCCAACTGCATTGTATACCCATTATTAAGCAGTCTCAGAATGCTAATCACATATTTAAACATATTTTTTTAAACAACCCTAATTAACCTCGTCTTCTGCTCAGCCTTGTTAATACAACCAAAATAAACACTGTGAATCAAAAATAAGATTAATGGAAAAGACAAACAATGGCCAGGCCCAGAGCCCAGAGTACAACTAATTGAAAAATGTATTTTAAAAAGTCAAGGACAAATTAGTCTTGACACAGAACCTGATGTTCATACCTTTATTGATCAGCTCTTTAGACATCAATAAGGAAGTATACTTGTATTTTCGGTAACCTATTAATAGTGTTACTTTGCATGTTTTAAGCAAAATTCATGAAAACAAAATATTGCCAACAGGGGGTGTAATATATTGTTCAAATTGGTTATATTTGTTGTAAAGGTTCTGGTGAATCTGTGAGATTCTCTGAAAAAGTCAATACTATAGTACATTTCCCCTTTAATATATTAGAACTGAACTTGGAAACTTTTACACATCAACTATGATAGATGTGAGCTCAGACCATTTGAAATCAAAAGTGAATTAATCAGAAATGTAGAGCTTTTAAATAACAAAAGTATTATTTTCTTACCAGTGAACTTAGTGCCTTCCATGGAGCTTGGGCCACCTCAAGATCATCAAGAATGCTAGAAAAGATTGACCGTTCCTCAGCCCGGTCAATCTGCAGAGGGCTTGTCCCCAGAATCTTTACTCCACTGTTGTGCAAAGGGATGGCCAAGTTGTTTGGGATCTGACCTCCTACAGACACAATACTACCGGAGCACTCCTATGAAAAAGAGAAGATCGAATATATATGATGAAATACCATAAAGACAATTTGGAGAACTTATAACATTTATTAGTCTTAAACTGTATAATAAAATCACATCAAATCACACAAAAGGATAATTGATTGATAGACTTTATTGATCTCACAGTGGAGAATTTTACTTAGCGTTGTATACTGTACATATATATTCAATACTCCTTAATCAGGTACCCTAAAACCGATAACAATTGAAGCGGGTTAAAAAGTCCCCTAAGAGAAAAGTATGGTATGTATAGTAGGAGACAGAAAATTTTAATTAGATTGTCTTATAAGATCATTTGAATCATAAAGAATAGTGGAAAATGAATGCCTAACATTGGTTTAGATATAGACCCTCTGTATAATGAAACATAGTGGTGGCAGAATCATTGTGTTGCTACTGTATATTTCCTCAGCAGGAACTGACATAATATGAAGTGATGGAACAATGATTGATTTCTATATAGTCAGTTTATCAAAATCAGCCTACTTAGCTTACTGCTTTATAATTTTGCAGAGCAGCAGAGTCCAATGGCGTTAGGTCACTCTGGTTGCTGGCTCAGCCGGTTTCTTGGGTGGGATTTTCCCCTAAACCACTGCCTCAAAGTTGCCATGTCACTAGTTTATTACACTGTACTGAATTTGTTGGAAAGAGCTGCTTTACTGTAAGCTGTTATTTTTAGAGAGAAAGGACACCTTAAACTTGATCTGTTCAGTCAGTTCATCAAGATGATGAGCCTACTATTAAATGTGCTTACTGATTTTTTTGGAAAGGCAAAGCTTACGTGAGAGACTGGTCTTACTGGTAAGCTCTTGATGATGCCGGTGTGCACAATTCATTTTTGATAGAATTATTTGCTTATTTGCTTATTGAATCTACATGGCACTGAGACTAAAGAGGAAAATCAGCTGTGTGTTCCTGCTACTGGCACCCAGTGGACAAAAGTTGTAGGGCAGTTTTTCTCAGGTTGAGTGAAATACAACGTAGTGTTCCACCGATACCAGTATCGGGCAGGGCCCCGATACTGCACTAAAATGGTGGTATCGGTATCGACAAGTAACAACAAATAGGGCACCGATACCATTTTGAGAGCCAAAAGTTTATTCCATTCCAGGTAGGCAATAAAAAATTCTTCTAGATTCACTTTGTGTTAGTCTTTTTCCTGCTTCACAAAGGTAGGCAGCAGCTTGACAAAGCCATGTCAGCGAACTTTTTACATTAAAGTAGTATGCAGTTCTTCATATATACACACACATCAATTTCAAAAAGATGGTATCGGTATGGTATCAGTATCGGCCAATACTGCACAGCCAGGTATCGCAATCGGGGCCAAAAAATGGCATCGGCTCAACATTAATACAATGTAGAGGAGCCTTTCACACAAATCGGTGACCCCAATCCTAGGTTTTTAAATACCTAGGCTTTAGGTGGTACTTTAAAGGGCTATTTCTCAACCATTTCTGGGCCAGGGCCTTACCTAACCATCCACTTAAAAAAGTGTAGGCTAATAACACTGTATATTTTTTACTATTAAAATTATTAGTATTTTGATAGTCATTTTTAGTCTTCTAATGATTTGCACATCACCAGATGACAGATCTGTAAAATTCTACAGGAACAAAAAAGTCTCATGCATTCAAATTAAGTTTATAGGTATCAACAAAAGGCAATCAACATTTAACTTGAATTGGATAGGACTTTAGAAAAAACTCAGAATGGTTAAAAATGTCAAATAAAACTTTCATTCCTTTTGAGACAGCGTGAAAAGTCAGGTGAGTACAAAACAGAGAGGAAAACACGAAACTGGACAAGAAGAGAGGGAAAAAACATAGAACAAATAATGTATGTCTATTCTATTAAAATGTCTGTATCCGTATAATGGGTCTGTTTTATGTGTTGTCTTCTCAATCCAGAGAGCCCCATGCCTGTGTTTGCCTAGGGCCCCAAATTTCCTAAATCCCCTCCTGGCTACAAGAGTCTGATAATGCCATGCCTGTTTTAAAGTTGCCTTTAGTTTTACAAGTAGTAGTGTTGTTTATCTTTGGTGTAATCTTTTCTTTAAGCAAGCACAAACCAAAGGAGCTGCAGCACCCTCTTTTTGTTAATAGTGCTGCAAGCACACCCTTGTATCCTCCAAGTGCCCCTCAGAGGGCGGTACTGCCCCTGTTGAGAAACACTTCCATGAAAGCAATCTGCAGTTAGACTAAAGTCAATGTTGACAAATGTGTTCTTATCTGTGTGACTGAGCTTAAGCTTTTATGCAGCAACTAAAAACTTTAACTTTAGGGAAAAGTGGTTCTACATGGCACAATACCATGCAGAATTTGAAACCATGTTTTCATTTTCTTTCCCTTATTATTTGGGTAATCCTTCTGCATTTTTCCTATATAATAATTTATTCATAATGTCTAATTAAGCTCTTTTAGACCTCAGCTAATATTGCATTCACATACCTATGTTAAAGTTTAAAGTTGTAATATGATATAACACAAATAGATCAACTCATAATATATTTGCAATGCATGTTATTTTGCTCCTGAAAATGTTTACACCATCTAACGAAATGTCAGATCTGATAAATATCATAAATCCGAGTATGGCTTGGTGAATCCAATTAGAGACAGGTAAGTAGCAATTCCTGCCGATGTTATGTGTCACTTGGAAATAAATGTGAGCAAATGTTATGCCCTCTGAAGTCATGGAAACAACTTCCTGCAAAAGAGAGAAAAAATGAGAATGTGCTTTTTAATAACTGCATGCAGGGCCTTTTCCTGTCTAGGTGATCCAAAGGGGATGCTGTTTCCATGGTAATGCTAGGTTGTGTCTGTTCATTATTCATGGACCTGCTCTCCTGCTCCTGTCCAGGGGTTATCACCATGCTCTAATGCTATATTTATTACTAATACCCCCCCCCCAAACACACAGACACACATGCACAACCCACCTATAGAACTGCAAAGAATGAAAATATAGCTGCAAAGGAGGAATTGATGGTAAGGCCAAATCCCCAGACAAACAAACACTTAATCACACTGTGTTCCCATCACAACTTTAACTGGATTACAATTGCTCTGCAGGGGAAGATCAGCGGTCATCAGTATGCCAATGCACGTAAATACATAGCAATCTAAACACAGAAAATGTCAAGATAACAACACCTTTGATTATTACTTGACATGATAAACATCAAGTTTAGTACAATGACATCACACAGAATATAAACAAACATTAAGATAGTGAGTATACATATATAAAATTGTTGGTAGACGTTGTTTAATGAGTCACACATTTCTTGAAACATGAAACAGGCCTGAACAAAACTGAAGATACTCTTAACTTAATATTTTTTTGCATTGCTCCTCCCAGCAGGTATTTTGACCCACTCTTCAAGAGCAAACTGCTCTTGTTGTCTTAAGTCACCTACAGTAAGGATCCTTCTCTCCCGATATTTATTTAACTATTGTTGCTAATACTTTCATTAAATGAGGGTTACCAACGTATATATATATATATATATATACATATATAATTTTTATATGCGGTATTGTGCAAAGAACCTCTTTGATAATTACAATTATAATTACAGTATCCTAGTTTTCAAATGAAAGTTCAACAACAGTGCACTTTAATCAGTTTTAACAAAATTCCTAAAAGCACAAAAATCCGACATTTTCAAATATCTTTAAACAGGAATCAACAGAATAATGCCCTAACCTCTTGTTGGGTTATATCAAGTATGCGTTCCAGTGTCAGCTCTTCAAAGTAAAGACGGTCACACTCGTCAAAGTCGGTGCTGACTGTTTCAGGGTTGTGGTTGACCACCACTGTCTTCTTGCCAATTTGTCTCAAGGCTCTGATGCAGGACACTGCACACCAGTCGAACTCAACGCTGCTACCTAGTAGATTGTAAAAATGAATATGTAGTCATGGTCATACAGCATGAATCTCTACACAGTGATAAATTAGCTGCTGTACTTTGATCTCTACTTTCTATTACGGGGAGTTCAATTTTAAGTTAAAACTACTGATCTGGAAAAATTTATTTTGAATAATGATCATAATAAAAATAATCCTTTATTAACTCGAAATTTTAGACAAATTTTCCAAATGCAAACAGTTTTTTTTTTACATGTTTGTCAATTGTACTATATACTGTATATCAGCAACAGTAACCAACTAATAAAAACTACTTCCATGATATAGCAGCATATATCAACTGCAGATTCTAAAAATATGAAAATAATACAAATGAAAAAGTGCCTATAGTTTTCTGCTTTAATCCTATTTAACCTAGGAGTGAGACTTTAAAGATTAGTTAGATACCTACCAATGTGGTAAGGTCCACAGCCAAGAACCATAATCCCCTGATCTTTGAACTCCAGATCATGCTCCTAGTGAGGTGAAACAAATTATGATTATTTGTTATTACATAATGAAAAACAGATCACTTGGATACGGAAATAAACTAACTATAGGGCATACCTGACCGTGGTACGTGCAGTACAAATAGTTGGTCATTGCTGGGTACTCAGCTGCTAATGTGTCAATCTATAATAAAGAGAAATAAGTCAAATTCATGACATTGCTAAAAAAAAGCAAACAGAAAAAAACTTTCCTCTATAATAATTTTAAGAAAGAAGTTACATTGAAATCATAACTTACTTTTGAATGAGGACAGTTTACATGGTTAGAATGTTGTTAAAAGCCTTCTAACTAGAAACAGCGAAGAGAGAATGCAGAGAGGTTGAAAAAAAAAAAGGAGAAAATTTGGGCCCCAAAAAGACTAAATGATAAGAAGACTTTAGTTTAAAATGGCCTGCAATTTAAAAGCATGGTAAATTGACTCATATCTGAAACATATTGTCAAAAATAGGGCAGGCAAATAATCTACAAGACAAAAAAATAAAGACATATACAGTATAAAACAGAGCGTATTTTTTATACTGTGATTCTTCTTACTTTTATATTAACTATCTTATTGGCCTTATAGAAAAGAAAGGAAAAAGGAAACATCCTTTTAGGTACAGTACTACAGTGGGGAAACTGATTCTCTGCAATTAACCCATCCCTTAGGGGCCGATGTGCTGCCACATTGAGTAGCCCACAGGAAGCAATCTGGAATTAAAAGTGTTGCTTAAGGACTTGAAGTGAAAGTCAGAGCTTTGAAACAGCAATCCTGCAGCATCGATAGGAAGCAAAGGCCCTGCTCTTTAACCACTACAGTAGGTCAATAGGAGATTCAAGTACTGTAATGTTCAAGAATCACAGTTACACAACTAATCAAAGACTAAATGATCAGCTTTTTAAGTCTCTTTTGGCCAGTTTTAAAGAAAATTGTAAAAAGCAATTTAGTGCAGACATTTCTTAAATGTGTAACCAAAAAAAACAGGATCGACTGAAAGTGGAGAAATGAACGGATAAATGAATGGAAGGAAAACATCTGAATTATACATTTTTTAAAATAAGTTTTATTTCACCAATTTATCAAAACATTGAAACTACTAAAATCAAACCTCATACTAGTCCAGAATTACAGACTGAGATAAAACCCAATAAATAGAATATTGTTATATACATACTTGCATAACCCTATATGCAAGTATGTTGGTTCATTAACTGCAATGCATTATTAATTTGGGGTTGTATAAGTTGTGAATACAGCCTCAAACATCTGTGTAAAAACAAAACATACAACAGTGCCTAAGAAGGTGAAAGTTATAAACTTTGATTTGATTATATTTGATTGGTTGTCTTTTCCAACCAATCTATTCCTAGACTCTATCCAAACTCTATCCAAGTGACGGCAACTGTCCTACAAACTCCCTCATCTTGACTGAATACTGAGGCTGTTTAATTAAAGTGTACCTTTGTTGTCTGCTGCAGGTGGTCAACGGGATGTCACTGAGGGAACATCAGTTTTATGCCAGCCACATTTCTGGCAATGGTAAGCTACAATGTAGCTTTAGAAACTAATTATTTTGGATACAAACTAGAAAGATTTGTGTGAGCAGCTGAAGCCAAATATGTCTGAACTTTAAGAACATAAATTAGCCTTTGTACCAAATACCTTTGTACTAGCATCCATCCTCCAGACAACATTTTAACTTGTTTATGTAATTTATACATATGTTTTTATATTAAAAATATTCATCTTAGCTATCCTAACTACTGAAAACAATATCTGATTCATGTAACCTTACATGCAAAACAACTATTCGTTTGCCGTCCTAAGAATCAACAAGGAAACTGGAAATAGTTCATTTAAATATGAAGCACCTTTTTACTGTTAATGCATTTAATAAGGCCCTTGTGCAAAAACTTCAAAATATTTGTAATTATTTTCAACTCTTTTTTTGTGTGTGTGTGTATGATTACCGTTATATTGTGATTATCCTCTCATTTTAAATTAAATAAATAGGTTAAATAAATATTTTAATCAGATGTTGGTCAAACAATTATCATAAGTGTATAAACATAAGCATACAACACATAGTACCTTTATTTTCAATGAAAGCTCTGTATAGTGAGTCAGTTTTACAAAGTGGAGGGACTACAAATGATAATAATGACAAGCTCAATACTTTCATGATTATTCAGCTTCATAAAAGTCATAAAATATATTTTCATTTGAATATAAATTATTTCCCATAATAAAAATATGGGAAATTGTGCATTTATCAGTTATTCTTAACTCTGCAAGGAGAAGTCTAGGGACACTCACCTGTTTTACCCAGGGTTTGATGCCATTACTGATCCTCAGCTCTCTAGCAGCTACCGCACTGCAGCCCAGGATCTGACCAATCTGCTGGTCTGAAAAGCCATTCTGCTTCGCTTCCAACAAAAGCTCTTGGGGTACAGTGGCACTGTGCAAAAAGACAAAAAAAGATGAATAACTCCTTAAAGTTAATAGTAGTTTCAGACACCAGAAAGGTCTTGACAGTTAAAAGTTGTATCATTATTTCTAAAGCCATTTGCTGGGCTTTTTCTAAAAATTTCTTCTTTGTTTGCTTGCTTGCCAAAACAAAAAGGTGCAACATTTAAAGCAGCAGCAAAGGTCTTAATTTGTCTTAGTATTCCGTAATTCAAGTATACGCATGACTGATGGTAATGTAAGTGAGAAGAAAATATTATTCGGAAAAAAAAGGCAGTGGAGTTCAACGGAAATATGTTATTTTTCTATTATTTTGTATACATGCCTGAGCTTTTTTTTAAATCTATTGAACTTTAAAAGTTTATACAGTGAGAAAGTCTTTGACTCAGTGGTGCTGACGGCAGAGAATAGGTTCTGTTGGGCAATCAATGCCAAATTGACAAACACTGCATAATATTGAAAGAAAACTAACCGAGGGAAAGCAAAATATTTAAAAACTCACATTAGCAAAAGAATTTTGGTTGTAAAAATAGAAATAGTAGCAGAAAACAGATAAATACACAAGCTTAGATATGAAATGGATCAGGGTGCAAATTTCCTGTCAGATATCTTGGCTCCTGTCATGCGGCTATCTCGTGATACAACCATAAATATCATCCCTCCAAAAATATTTAGAACCATTGCACATTTTCTTTTTTTTATGTTGGCCACAATACTGTTAAGGTAATGAGAACAAAAGGCAGTTCTATAATGTATGGCTTCAGAGGGGATTAATACTTTTGTATGCCACACTATCAGATTTGTATTTGCAAAATAAAAAAAATAAATAAATAAAACACACATAATAATGTTCTTTCAGTCATCAACTAGGGACTCATAAGTTGTTGTTTTTTTCCCCCCAATAAAATCAATTGAAGTTTGTTCTTGTAAAAGGCAGCCCATGCTGTACAACTACATTTGTATGTCATTGTACCATTAATCTAATGTCCATTTACTATCCCTGAAAAATTCAGACATGCTCATTCATGATTTCTTAGATTTACTGTCATCTATTGCTTCTAAAATGGTAGAAAAGCTTAATGCTTTCCATTATTTTTTATTTATATGGTTGCTTAAGAGACAAATTGGGTAATTATCAATTTATTCTAACCTGAATGAAAACCAAAGAAAGGCTACATGAAGGAAAAAAAAAACTACAACAACCATGTTTCCATCTAGTGGTTTAGAATAACATGTGGCACAAGTGGGAAATATAGCTCTAACTATAAGCATCACTATAAATGTTTCAAAAGTTACCTTTTTCTAGAAATTTTGGTTGATTTTTTAAATTTCTTTTAAGAATTCTTTAGACAACAGGTAATACTAACCCTGCTTTAAGAATAAAATCTTTATAGAGGATTGAGTCCAGGATCGGCCATTTTTGCTCAATATAGTAACACCTCGCCCATAAAATCTTACACCAGTGACGTCACGTGCGGTAGGCCGAGCACCATTCTTGCCAATTAACAAGCAAAATCAATGGGAGCTACTAGACACATCTGCCATCAACAACAATTATTTAAAATTTCGAGAGGACCTATAATTAAACTGACAATGCCCATGTGCATGTTGTAATACATCGGGTAAAAGTGAAAAAAAAAAAAGGTGCTATTTCACCTTTAAGATTCATGATTAACGATGGGGTCGTTCTTGAATTGCCAAGAATTTGCCATCAAACTTCTGGCCAGAGAAAAAACATGTAATATGTAGCCAATTATAAAGAGGAATGTTTTAAAGATGACTTGATAACAGCACAGATACAGCACTGGGACTTGCTCAACAGCCGATGCCGCAATTTAACCTCACAAATCAGTAGGTGGCAGTAGAGTTCTTTGAGAAACATGGAGGTCTCCAGTAAAGCACATTTAAATGAATCATTTATTCAACAGTAAGTAATAATTTTGAACTTTAACTTTGTTTAACACTAGCTGACTATGAATCCATTCATCTATTTTCTTACACGCTTATCCCAAGTGGGGTCGCAACGGGTGCTGGTGCCTATCTCCAGCTATCTATGGGTGAGAGGCGGGATACACTCTGGACAGGCCAGTCAATCGCATAGCAACACAGAGACAAACAAGACAAATAACCATTCACACTCACGCCTAAAGAATCCAATTAACCTAACAGTCATGTGGGAGGAAGCCGGAGTACCCGGAGAGAACCCACACATGCTCAGGGAGAAAATGCAAACTCCATGGAGGCAGCTGTGCTACCCACTGCGCCACTGAGCAGCCCTGAATCCATCCAAGTTTTGGGTAAATGGTTGGAAAAAAATCATTGCATGGTGAGTCAAAAATGTCTTCAGTTGAATCAAAATGAATCTAGTCATAGTTTTTTTTTTTTAGAACAAAACCAGAGCATTTGAAAGTTAGCACACTGCTTCAGTTTATATAGTGAAAAACAGACAATCAGGCTCGAAATCTGGGCGTAGTGATGGACTTCGGCATGAACCTTCAAAGACAGCAACAAAGCCGGCCTTCTTTCACCTATGAAACATCTCTGGAATTAAAGGACTAATGGGTCAGTAGGACCTTGAAAAACTAAGTGAGTTAATGAGTTAATCTTTAGTAGATTTGATTACTGTAATGTTGTCTTCACAGGTCTGCCTGAAAAGCTGATTAGACTAAACAGTAAAAGCTCTGACTCCTTCAGCTGCCTTTAATTGAACTTCAAACCACATTTATTTAGAGTGGCCTTTGACTGTGCTATCTAACTATGATTAGTTAAGTTTTTTGTGGGAGTTTTGTTCAATCCCTTGGTCTTTTAATCTTTCCTACATTTTTATCAATAATTTAATCCTTTGTATGATCATCGTAGTTAGATGTATTACATTTTAACTGTAATTTTAATCATACTTTAATGATCTTACAAAAAGAAACAAAACAACAACATAAATTGCACAAATCAAACAGTTGGGTGACCGTAAGAAAATAAATAAATAAATAAATAAATAAATAAACATCTATGAATAACAACAGATTACAATTAACTTTGATGAAATGCCAGAAGTTGAACGGGAAGCAGTTCAAACCCACTTGCATTAAGCTTGTGGACCCCTAAGTTAATCCTTCTATTTAGTCATATTAACATGGGATAATTAGCAAATAATTAATCATTAGCTCATTATTAATAACCAATTCATCATCAGAAAGTTAATAAGTGGGGTTTCCTATATAAATCACTCAGTTTAGGCATCTCACTCAATGCCCGACCACCTCCACCAACCAAAATACAAAAACAGAAGTAAAAAAGAGGCAATATTTCATGTTCCTGTTGAGTTGACATAATTTAGCCATTTTGAGCAAAATCTTTGGGCCTTCTTATATTGAGTCTTAAGAAGAACAAAAGTAATTAATCTACACATATTTCATTCACAATGGCCGACCAATTAAGAAGTAAAATTAAGTCAAACAGACATCCCTTTGGATGCCCAATTGACATAATTTCCTTAACAGTGAAATGTGTCATATTAATAAACTCAAGAATCTTGTGTCTATTATAAATACAAAAAAACACAACTAAATAATACCTACAGCAATGTAAAGGAACATTTTCTTCCAACCGATAAGTAACATTTTGGACTAATTTGGACAAAAGACAAAAAAATGACAACTTAAAGGGGTGAATTAATTTGGATTGTTTCTTTAAACAGCTACAATTCCAAAGGTCAAAACGGCTGCCAAGGTTTGGAATAGTAAACTTTAGATAGAAAGTGTAGAGTAAGGAGTGGAGTAATCACAAAAGATATTTCTTTTAGAACAAAATTATAAGTTTTTGAGGATAAATTGCAATTTAAACTGCCTTTACAAATACAAGATAGAGATAGACTAATTATAATGATTAATTCATTTTAAGGAATTCTCTTTTCATAGATACTTTCAAAAAATGTTGTTATTCAATTGAATAGGCAAAGGCAAAATTACTTTCTGTTTTACACTGGCATAATAAAATAACTCAATCTGACAAGTTAATATTGTCTATCCTTCGGAAACAAATCTTAATTCCATATTTACCAAATTGCACTAGAAACGCTTAAACTAGAGGTACAGACCAAAGGCAGCGATTCAACTGTTGAAGCACAAGCTGCTCTGCCTCCTACTTATGTGAATTATTTATCATTTCATAGTATATATAAAAAGTCAAATGCATTTTAAAATCTTAGTCCACATGTCTGGGCTGAATAAGAATCCCTCGAAGCAACAAAAGTAGAGCGCAAAAGAATAAAAGCATAACAGTGTCATTTTGTGTTAAAGAGATGCACTGCCTTAAGTTAAATATTAAGCACTTAAAAAGGAGAAGCGAGGGGGTCATTCACACCTTTTACATGTAAATACGCAGAAATAAAAGAAAAAAATAAATAAAACATTCAGTTAACATTTACCAGAATGTGCAAATTATTCTGATAAACAAAAATGGAATAAATGGTAATTTAAAGAAAACAAAGGACTGACAACTTCCTTTTAAAATCGTACAGCTTTCAACTCCAAAGCATTTGTCATCTCTGTATATAATGCTGCATTTAACCAGCATGAAAAATGTCTATATTTTGCTGAGAAGCCAAAATACAACTTAACAAATAGTTCAACAGAGGTTTAGATTGTTAAAAAAATCAATATTTTGTGTTGCTTATCTCAGAAAGTAAACCCTGCAGAGCACAGATTGTCAAAGGAAAAGGAAAAAAAAATTGGTAGGGAGAGAAGAAACAGGGATAGCTCCAGCTTTATGAGATTTATCCAGCAAAATCCAAGAAAATTTAGGGGAGTTTTAGAGGGAATCGGCACGCCCAGAGCCACTACACACAAAGAAATGGGGGCCAAAAGTGTTGCATCCCTCATGTTTAGTCTGCTCAGAACCAAAGACGAGAACTGGACTGGTGCTCCGTGATCCTAAGCCTTGTTTTCAGATAAAAAAGAAAGTCTGCATCTAATTTAGAATAAAGGTCTAAAAGACAGGAGGAAGAGTTCAGTGACATGTGATCCATGTTACTTGAAGTCCGGCTTGAAGTTTCAAGTGCCAGTGTTGATTTGAGGTAACACATTATCTACTGATGATGAAGTAAACTTCCCAGAAATTCCAGATCACCTCTCATGTCCTTCCACTGACAATCTTTATTATATTTCTGAGCAGGACTTGGCACCTGCTTACACTGTCAAACAGATCAAAACCTGATTCAATGGTTACGGTGTTACTGTGTTTGATAGCGCAGTAAACTGCTCTGACTTGAGCCAGATAAATTCTCCAAGAGGTGTCAAAACACCTTGGGATTCCTAAACAGTTCAGCAGTGCCACAGGCTGATTGTCTCCATGCATTGCTTAATTAATGTAGCAAAAACAGGCCTAACCATATTTTTGTAATCTACATATAAATTAACATACTTTCAGAGGTTTGACATTGCCATTTAAAATAATTATTTTTTTTATTTATGTTATATAATACTCTAACTTTCAGAAACACTGAATTTTTTTTGGTTCTTACTATTCATGCAAATTACTAGAAATAAGGACTGATATAAAGGACTTTATAAAGGAGTTTGAGTTTAGCAAATCTATATAACAAAAAGTTTCCCTTTCTGAAATACATGATAAAACATTTTTTATCCTGGTATACTGAGGTGAGAAGAAGAGAGAAAAAAAGGAAGAGAAAATTCAGACTCCAAACAAATGAGGAGGTTATTATTTAGTTTTTTTTTTTTTTTTTATGTTTGCTCTTCTGCACTTCAAAGATTCCATTCATCTGTTTGCTGTGACAGTATCTATTTAACTTTGAACAGATTTAAAGTAAAAAATATTACATCTTTGACTTGAAAAACGCACAAACCTAAATAAGCTGTGAACAACTTCTCACCAAAGTAGGAGCTGTGCTCGACTTACCCTTTGCTCACGGCAGATTACAACCATTCTAATGCTCATCATGCAGCGCAAACGAAAAGATTTCAGAGTCCAGCAGGGCTTTTCTTGAGTTTAAAAGCAAAATGCCTTTATAACATCATCAGCCTAATGCATGCATAATAGGTGGGTTGACTTGACATTAGGCTAGTAAAGTAAGTCTAGTATTGAAATCCTTGTTGATCTAAAGATGTGTTTGTTTTTAAGCTACACTTTATAAAGGTACCTATCTGATACCAGGCTACATCCCAACCCCACAGGTTTGGTAACCTTTAATTTTATGTTATACTCCATTTTTCAGAAGAAAAAAAATGCCTAATGGAAACATTTTTAATTTTTGTTTTTCTTTCAAGTTAAAAATCTGTGCTATTCAGAGCTTTAACTTCTACAGTTTACAGTACTTCATAATTCAATGGCATGTGTTCAAAGGAAATCTGTTTTAGAACAAAAGAAAATCCTTCGATTTTCTTATGTTTTGCTCGCCTCTGAAGGTAAAATCCAGGCAACAAATCATTACACAAGTCAATATATTTTAAACAAGCCAAAATGATCCAGCAATGGTTTTTAATCAATAGTATAAATAATTGCTGCATATCTCTGCAACACTTACTTCAAAGGGAAAACATGTCTCTAAAAATGTTTTTTTTTTCATTGTGCATATATAAATATTATGCAAAGCAAACTGCAATGAAAAATGTATGTACTGACTGCTGGGTAGTAGGGCTCAAACCCAACTGCACTCAGATACTCCAGCAGTCTGACAGCAGCCAGACGTTCTGTGTTAACCCAAAAGTCCCTAACACCAGTGGGAGTAGCAGAGCCAGTGGAGACTACAAGCATCCTTTGTGTGTCAGGGAGTTTCTGTGAGTGCCCACCAGATTGCCAGCCATTAAATATTAACCAGCAAAAGAAAGCAAGGGGTCACCCATGGTTGATCCATAATAATTCACCACTTCTTTGATTCAAGTCATTCAGGAGATAGCCGGAGGGCAAGAGAGCAAAACAGAGAGAAAGAAAGGAGAGTGAATGTGAAACCTTTGATGAAGGGAAACTGAAAATTTATGAGAAACAATATTTGTTACCTTAGTTTAAACTTGTTTACCCATTTGTAATTCCTACAGGCCCTTTTTTGAAGCAGTTAAAAATGATGGGAGATTCAAATAGAATTTAAAATCTATTCAAAAATATTTGTTTATCAATCAATATTAAAACTAAACTAAAATTTCTTAATTAAACTAAAAAGATCACCCTAAAACCTCCTTATTTTTTTTTAAACATTTACAAGCTTCCAGAATTGTTTGGTCTATAATACTGTTTGTTTTAATGCTTTTTTCTTTTACAGTTTCTGGCTTTCAGAATACCCTTTTAACACCATTTATTATATCTTACCTAAATATATATAAATAAAAAAAACACTATAATCACTATAAGGTTAGAATGTAATGGCTTCATGAGGCTGTTAAGAATGATCTTGCAAAAATCCAGATCTGCACAAGTGATCCTCAATGTTACCTTAAAGGTATGTGGAAATTTTCACAAATTTTCGAAAAGACCCGCCCTCTCCACAATAAAAGAATGCACATGCATAACCCTGTACCTGTTCCCGAGAGTGAACGCCTGTTAAACGCGTGCAAGAGCATGCATGAGGCTATTTCTCCTCGTGCACGCTCTGCTTAAAAGTTTCTGTTTGCTTTGCTCATGCAAGCTTACTTTCCAAAAGAAGATTTGCAATTATTTCACTATGCCAGACTCACTACTGCTAAGTGAAAAAAAAAGAAAAAAAAAAGAAAAGATGAACGAGCACGTAGGACGGACTCACATAAACATATTGATTGATTGATAATTAGGAGGACCACTTATTTTGATGATCCACCTGGAAATAGAACATCCTCCACTATAGCTTTAAGGATCGAATTTCAACTGCTATTAGTTTCAGCCATGATTGTCATTGTTATTTTACTCTAACCAAGTGTTTTTAAATGTTTTGATTAGAAAAATATGAGAAACGTTATTGACATCATTCCCTGTGAACTCATCTCTGCATGGCACCTTATATTTTAGCATATGTAGGAATCACCATATAACGTTCATAACATCTACTAAAACTAAGAGTAATATAATCCAATTTAAAAAGGTGTCTCACCCCAGTAGTCTATTATGTGTTGATGGAACAATGGTTATTTACATTTCATTTGATTAATATTGTGTATTTTTTTCCAACCTAGTTGTAGCAAGCTAAACCCTGACAAAGGAGGCAAAGACAGAAACAGGATAAAAAAAAACCACCAAAATGAAAGAAGAACTTAAATTATGCTATTCATAGTTTTTAAAAAGTTTTGCTGAAAGTGTTTTCTGCATCACAGCTTTACTGAATGTTCTGTTGTAGTAAGATAAGGGGTCCTGTATGAAAGCCCTAAACTTGACAAACATTGTGGCTTATGGTAAATGTACTGACAGCAAGGTTTAAAACATTCTTTTAATTTGTATTATTGTACTTGTATGCAGCCTGTTTGTGATTTAGTTTTTGCCACTGTTTCTAACTATGCTTCTACTGTTTAAAAAAGAAAAATACTTAACACTCACAGCACCAAAATTGTATATCAGAACAAAGATTTAAATATTTCCTTTTAAAATTAAAATAATAAAAATGATAATAATTATAATTACAACAATAAAAAATTTAAGATTAAGAGAGCGCAAAATGTTGAGAAATGCCCAAACTGATTTTTGTTTTTAAATATATATATTCTGACAACAAAAAAGTGAATATGTTCCATAAATGTAGATTTGTCCTGATCAGAAAAATATGTCATCTTAACTTAAAACCACAGCCGGTGAAAGTAATTAAAGCTGTGTCCATGAACATTAGCGCCAAGCAACCCTCAAGCTTTAGTGCCCAAATGCCCCTGAGGGTACTTATTCTGTTTTTGTATTACCTGTTATAGTTTCCAAGGTTTTGCTCCAGCTCTGTTATTCTGCGAAGTTTGTGGAGGAACCACTTATCTATGGCCGTGAGCTGATGAATTTGATCAACATTCATACCATTATGCAGCGCCTGAAAAGTAAAAAGTATAACAGAGAATGAACATCAGTTTTCATCATCTTCTTATTCATCATTTATTCCCCTGAAAGCTGGCATTCAGAGGCTTTCAGCTGATGATGAACATCCAGTGATTTCAAATGAAGACCGTTGGACAGTAAACATAAATAAAAAGCGGCTGTCCATTCCCCTTTCAAGGACTGCATCAGATGACATATATATTGCAGGAGAAATATATTACTTTGGCATTTCATTAAAAAAGCATTGTTTAAACACCTTGTGTCATCGACATATAATATACCAGGGGTCCTGCTCAGACAACAGACAGTAAATATTTTTTACAGGATATATATCAGACGTCTGACAAGCTGAATCAATCCAATAATGTGGAAGGATTTTAGTCAAACAATGCTATGCACAGCCAAATAAAAATGCTTGTGCAGTTCCTCTATACATGGTTAACTATCAGTTTAGCTATGCCTTTAATAAAATACTGTTTCTTTAATCACTTGTGAAAACATTTTTCACATTTTATTACATTGTCTTACTTCAATGTGTTGAATTTCCTCCTTTTTTTAAATAACAGCATGAGGTCTCGATTAAATGGAAAGTGAGCAGCAATTTTAAACAGTTTTTTTTTTTTTTTTTTTTTACTGGACTATGCATGCTGAATTCTAAGAAATGAATATTATTTATTCATATGACCTCATTGTAGACTGATCTAGATTCTCAGTTATAATTCTAAGTGCTTACAAAGAAAGTAAATGGACTCCTTCCCAACCCTAATATGGCACTGTTACATGGGTTCTCTGGAAACAGGACTTATCAAGGCATTTCCGAAAAACTTCACGATAAAAGCAGAATTTTAGGATTCCATTACTAGAAGTGGTTTTGCAAAAACAAAAACAAAAATAATAACAATAAAAAAAAAAGTTTTTCCAAAGTATGGATTCAGCAGTGGTCCACATTACATGGAAGAGATCTCCAAGTATTGTAGGAAAAGTAGGACATTGTCTTCAAACATAACTATGCTTTTAAATATCTGCAAGACTCCACCCATGAGTAATTTTCTAAGAAACCTCTTATGCCTTCACAGGCCATCTATATTTAGTGAGATTAAATTATACATATCTAAATTGTATCTAAAAATTAGCTAGCTTCTAATAGTATCTGATTTTATCAAGAAGTGTGTGCCACAGTAAATAGGATTACATCAAAATGCCCACCACCATTTCTGGCAGGTTTGATTTGTGTTCATCTTCACTAGTCTCCACTATAGTGTGTCTCTCTGTCATATATGCCCCCGAAATTAAGGATTTTAGTATTTGAGAAACAAAAATTTAAGAAGTTAAGGAGATTGTGTCATTGTGTAACATCTAAAGAAAACTATAGCACCAACAAAATATGACAAGAAATATGACAAAGTAATAATTTACTATTAAAAGACTCTAACCCTGAACAACATGAAATGTATACTTTCATATCTTATTTTACTAGTAGTGATGAAAACCAGAAAATCATCAAACCTTTTGAAAAGTTTTCACTTTCCACTGGAAATTCCTCTCTATGTTGGAATAAACATCACTGACCCTAAAAAATTTGATCTGTCTCTTTTTCAGCCTTAAAAAATATACAGACTAAAACCTATTCACCCACAATCTTCAGCAGAAATGGATAGACGGCAAATATTTCAAAGCTATTATGAAATGTGGATTATCTCTGTACCACATTTTAAAAAGTTGCATTGTCAGATAATCAAAGTGTTTATATGAGTTTTATGGGTATCACTTTTGCTGTTCATGTAATCCGCAAAAGGCAAGATTTCAAAGATAAGGTTTTCCACACAATTAATCATTCATTGCCACTCATGCAGAAGGCGAGGGAAAAGAATTTTCATTAACTCTTCAAAATGTAGTTTTAATGAGCAAACCGTAGTCAGTCCCATTTATTATTAATGTTTTAAAGGGTTTGGGCACCTTGGCAAGGGAGAAGATGCGGGTGCTGGAGGGCACAGCGAGCTCCTGTTGAAGGTTTTGTGTGTTGCCCCAGGCTTTCTTGAGTGGCAGCCGGGGAACAAAGCCCTCCACAGATGGATGACACATCCTCAAGGCCTTCTGCACACTCTCCTCAAACGTCCGGCCAACCGCCATCACCTGAATCCACAGGAGGGGGAAGGTTAATGACTAAGTGTGCACGTAAGTTAGAAAGTGTTTAATTATATATGTCCTACCCACCTCTCCAACACTTTTCATGGCACTACCTATTTCCCGAGACATGCCCTGAAAGCGGTCCAGGTCCCAGCGGGGAATCTTGGTGACAATGTAGTCTAAACTTGGCTCAAAGCAGGCAGTGGTCTTCTCTGACACAGCGTTTTTGATGTCTGGCAAAGGGATTCCCAGAGCTAACTTAGCAGCTACAAATGCCAAGGGGTACCTGTAAAACCACAGTAAACAGCCTCACCAATATCAACATTTGAGAGGCACAATGAAGAAAAATAGATCCCTCTCTCAGTACCAGCTAAACTATATCCCTCTGATCATGAACCAATTTTTGATGTGAATATGCCAGGGCAATGTACAACCTATTTTAAAGCCTGTTCCTGTCTTGAAATAAAGATAATTTAATGTGGCTTATATATAATACAGCCTAGTAGCAAAAACCTTTGTCATATTTTTGTTTTACCATTTTGAGGATAAAACACTGTGATAAAAACTGATTTATTATATATTAAACTTAAATTAATTATATTATGGGAATTGGTTCTTTTACTGTTTTTTACTGTTTAAATGACACTGGATGGTTCAAACAGAAATCAGTAAATATAAATACATATAAAAAAATATGAAAAAAAAGTTATACATTTTCTCTGTCCTCTTTAAATGTGGCAGAGATCTGATTAAACAAAAAATCCAAATATCTAAGAGAACTTGGCCCTCCTGCATCATTTTACAGTTGTGAATGAATCTAGTGTTTATTTTTAAGGATAAGGAGTTTTAGTTTTCATCTATATGATATTAAAATTAACTCTGATGACCATAAACTATGGCTAGACATCTTCTGTGGCCTTGGTTTGTTTCTCAGGAAACTGCATGAACTGTGCTATGTGCTTCAAAATATCCATTTAGATGCATTTTAATGCTTCTGACAGCACTACCTGTATGTAGATATGCAGTGTATGCTTCTACCCCTGACAATTTCTTTTTGTTTTTTTAAGCAAAATGTTAAAGAATACACTTAAAAAAAATCTTGATGGCACTTATTATATAGGATATATTATATAGTCACTTATTATATAAGAATTATTAATCCAAGTGAGTAGTTGATTGTAAGACAAAATTGTTATTTTTTTATGTCATTATGAATCAGTACAATCCGCATAAAACTTTAAAGAAATGTTCTCTCTCTCTCTCATAGTCTCGAATATTGTTTTCATCCTCTCCCCTTATTTTTAATTGGTTTACATAACTGGCCCTTGCTTTGAAACGTTGAATGAATACTGACACAGTGTCAAGACAAGTGCAAAACCTTGGTCCTTAGCTATTTACTGAAGATAGCGGAAATGTGATTAATTTCAGATTGAGGCCATTTTGGTATATAAACATACAAAAAAAACATCTATTAGTTAATAAAAAGTATTGTGAAACTTAAGAAATGGCACCATCAAACTACCAACCAACAGAATTGTGAGCAAAGCACTGTGTACAGCAATGGATCAGTGCCCTTCATCAAATAAAGTAATACTTAAAACAGGAAGGAACTGTTATGCATCATCTGACTGTTTTTCGTACAACAAAACTCGCTAGAATTTAAGACAAAGTTTAAAATTGTGGCATATTTTCATTTTCCAAAGAGCTGAGCTTAGTTAGATTATATTCCTCCAAGATGATAATATTTTAATGGGTAATCTGACTTCTTACATATTTTTGCTGGAACCCTACAGAATTTAGAAAAATCCTCATATCTGTCTAAGAGTGAGAGATTTCCTCATTAACACAGAAACTGTGGAATGATTATCTTCCTGTTTTATATTAGATGGAGATCTTGGAGGCTATATGCATTTTGACTAAATAATACACCACAGAAAGTTCTTACCCAGTAGCTTTGGATGCCAAAGCTGAGCTCCTTGAGAGTCGAGCGTTCACTTCAATGATGCAGTACTCCAGAGATGATGGATGGAGAGCATACTGGATGTTACATTCGCCCACAATTCCCAGGTGCCGCACCACCTTAATAGCCGTCTCACGGAGCATGTGGTACTCTTCATTGGACAATGTTTGACTTGGTGCTACTACTATGGAGTCACCTACAAGTAAAGGAGGAGTTAAAAAGTTCCTTAAAATTCTCCAAACTTGAAATGATTGAGAAATGTCAATGCTATTTTAGCAACAATTTATCATCTAATGCATAGTCATCAGTGCCAGATTATCCAAGCATTTGTTGAGAGATCTCTAGCGTTCCTGGGTGTTTCTGATTGCATGATCATGACCCGTTCTGCCTATGGACTTCTGAGCCTGCTTCTTCTCATTCTAATGTTTTTGCCTGACCTTTTTTTAAGCTCCTGCTGGATTTCTGCATGTCTGTGTACCTAACCTGGAACTGTTTCCCGACACCTTTCTGGATTTCCTTCTGTACCTCTTCAGACCTTTGATCTCCTGGCTATGACTCCCAAGCAAGTCTTCTACACTGACTTTGGCTTCACCCTATAGATTTTCCGGCCTTCCATCATCTGCTTGGTTCCGATCTCCTGCCTATCCTCCGACATCCGGGACATTAGCATCTGGGATCTCTGGGCAGCCCCCATCGCGTCTTGTTGGCATCTGAGTGACTCACATATTCATTATCGTCCTCAATCAGATTGGCACGGTCACTAACCTGTGTTCTCCACCAGCAAAGGTTCCTGCCAAGGCCCCCAACACTGTTCTCTGCAGTTCCGTCTTAAATAAATGTTCTATTAAATCTAACTGCCTTTCCGCCTCAAATACTGGGTCCTTTTGTTCTGACCCGGATAATTTTAGAATTGACCTGAAAATATGTTTGCCTTTTGCTGTTGTCTTTTCCCCAATAAATATGTTAGCAATAAAATGCTCAATTCAACTAGGACATGTCTTTTTCAGACCTTTAGAATGCTACAAGATTCAAAATATTTGAAGAGATGTTGGGAGACCTAATCCAACAACATTGTCTGATCTCAAAACTAATTTCTGGAATAAAATCCAGATATACCTACAGACAACAATTAAACCTTGTTAAAAAAAAACTTGAGTTAAAGCAGATGCAGCTGCAAAGAATGGATTCTTTTCATTAATAATAGGGGGAGTGCTCATACCAGTGTGAATTCCCAGTGGATCAAAATTCTCCATGTTACAGACTGTAACACAGTTATCAGCCACATCTCGCACAACCTCATATTCCACCTCCTTCCAGCCAAGTAAAGACTTCTCCACCAGAATCTGACTGCTCATAGCAAGAGCCTGTATTTCAAAGACACACACACATATATATATATATATATATATATATATATATATATATATACATAACAAAAAATATTAGATAGAAGCAATCAAATTCGTCATCAACTAAAACAAGATCAGATGTTTTGCGCACCAACCCAGTAAGTACACTATACTTAGTAATATCTGTATTTGAAGTTTGGTAATTTTGAAGGAAAAATAAAAGGTTTGCACATCCTCTCTGCTGAACTGCAAACATAAATTATTTTGCACCTTCTTTGAAGATCTGTTCTGAGCATACAAACATGTTTGCACATTTTAAGATGCACACACCTGAAGATCAGGCTCTCAGGAAATAGTTGTGAAACTATAACTTTTCCCTTTATTTTGTATTAGAGAACAGATCAACTGTTTATCCAAATAACTACGTTATAGAAATATTTTCTTTGGAAAACTTATGGCAAATTCATTTATTTTCATTTTGGAAGACTTTCAGTCTTTTAATTGAATTTTGTTGAGTGGTGCTTAAAAAAATGATATTAACTATTTGAAATCACTGTAAGTCAAATGTACAACATTTAAACCTTCTGTGCAGTTTCCTCCAGCTTCTCTTTGTCAGCACACAGACCAGATCCCAGACCTCCCAGTGCATAGGCTGATCGTAACATGACTGGATATCCTATCTTCTCTGCTGCTTTTAAAGCATCACACACCTGAAAAAGAGAAACATGCAATATTTAAGACCAAACCAAAGTGATTGTATGTAAAAAAAAAAATAAATAAATAAAAATAAAAATAGACAACCACACCTACCAGTACTAAGGATTTGAACACTTACCGACTTCACAGCAATGCTGGGTGCAATCTTCTCATTGATCTCCATTAGTTTGTCAGCAAAAAGCTGCCGGTCCTCTGTTGCCATGATGGATTCCACTGGGGTCCCTAAGACTTTCACCCCATACTTCTCCAAAATGCCATGCTGGAATAATTCCACTCCTGAAGACAATTTCATATGTAATCACCAAAACAACCCTAATAAAATGTAAATGCATGGACTATCACATGGTAAATACTTATTAAAAGCTTAGGTAAAAATTAAAGTTTCAAAAAGTGAATTTCTAATTTTATTAACTGCATTAAAGTATCGCTTTATACCACAATTAAGTGCAGTCTGTCCACCCATGGAGAGAAGGATGCCATCAGGACGCTCAGCTTTAATCACTTCTGTTACAAATTGTGGCGTCACTGGAAGGAAGTAGACAGAGTCTGCCTGCTTGGAGCCCACTTCATTGGTCTGAACAGATGCTATGTTTGGGTTCATGAGCACCGTCTTCAGATTTTCCTCCTACATTACCATAAAACAAAGACAACAATTTAAAAACACTAGAAGGAACCACTATAATATTTCAATAATTTAGGTCACTAGAAAATAAATGTGTGTTTGGATACAGAATGTGGACCCATAAAGCAGTGTCTTAACTTGTTAGGGGGAATCTCTTTTTTCCTAGATTTTAAGAGTATTCAATTTCAAAACTGGCTACACACTATTAACCTTGCACTGCAAGCTAGATTTTCACAAGATCTGTTTTCAGTCTCACAACAAATCCCCCTTGAAAGACTCCAGCTAATACGTCCATCTCCAAAGGACCAGCGAGTCGGACCAACAACATGCCAGCAGTTTTTTGGGGGCGGGACATGTAGGAATCACGACAGTCAGAAGGGTCTTGCTGGAGCATTACAGACATGGCTCCGCTGGAGGACTCACCTATCGATACCGCAAACTGACTGGGTTTTAGCTAAAATAGTGACAATTTATCATTTCAAATAGGAGCAAGAAAAGCACTTTGTGCATTTATATATCGGAAAGATGTCTGTGTTTTTCTTCTGACAGTTTTTGGAAAAGTTTGGTTCATCAGCTTACAAAATGTCATGATTTGCTGCTACGATTGGCTGAAAGCATATTATGGAAAAGGCGGATACTAGCTGGCACATCACCTAATCATGCCATTCTTTTCTTTCTTTTTTTCCCCTAGCTTTTTATTCTCATCACACTGTCACAATTACAGAGCAACGAAATGAACTCTCTGCATTTAACCCATCCCCTTGGGGAGCAGTGGGCTGCCATTGTGCAGCACCAGGGTAGCAGTGTGGGGTTAAGGGACCCAGAATAGCAGTCTGTGGTAGTGGGGCTTGAACTCAAATCCTCTGGATTCCAATCACAATGTCCTAATCACTAGGCCATCACTTCCCCTTTTCACAGACAGAGTGAACGCCAGTCATCCCAGATTCATATTGTAGATGTCAACTCAGTTCTACATATATCAATCTGGCTACTGCCAGGTTAAAAAATATTTAATTAAAAATGTATTTTAAAAAAATCAGCTATCTTTAATACTGGTTGACATTTTCTATTTTCACCAAAGCTAAAAACAAACTTTGGCAGCTTCTCTTTGTTGCTTTTCCTACATTAAAATGCTCTACAGAACATTCTGTCTGTGTAATAACAGCTTTATGTCATTCAGATAGGACTCCCTTCCTGTTCCTGTTGAACAAAAGCCTCTCCACAGTTAGATTTTTACACAATATTTCACTGTGGTGATGTTCTTTCTTAAATAATTTATTTTTGATATGTGCAATTCAGTGAATTCAAACCTGATGTATATATTTTATTTTTCTTGTCGCATGTCTTTTTTGCAAATGCCAAAACAAACTTCTCCTGGTTTCCTTTCACAATGAATAGCTTCTCACCCCTCTCTCTCATAAAGTTAAAATTTTGAAGTGATTGCACTGGCTCATCACAACTTTATACAGACTGAAAAGAGAGAACCCTGTACTATGCCTTTTATATTTCACTTTGTACAAAAATTTAAAAACCATACATACTTTTCAGTGTATTCAGTTTAAAATATTACCTTTACTTGATCTGCCACTCAAAGTACGTAAATACGGTCTTTAAAGAAATTGTAATTTTATTGAAAAAAATACCTTTGGGAAAAAATAGCATGGATACAGGAAAAAGCTCTAAAGAGCTCAGAGAAAAAGAATAGCTGATTTTCATTAGGATGTCACAGAGATGCAAAACATCTCTAAAGCATCTGTGTTATGAAAGGAAAATGTCAGGGTATCTCTTTTTAATTGACTCTTAAAAAGGAAAGTAGGTCATGCTTGTGAGGCAATAACCTAAAACACAAAGTTGTATCTAATAAAACTTCTGAGTAAGCTCTACTTAGGTCAATAAAACAGAATGTGCTAGAACCTGAAGCAAGCAGCCTCCATGAGAAATCCTTCAATCTTTTGTTAAAGCCACTATCAAAATATTATTCCCTAAAGCCAAAGTGCAGAATAAAAGTAACAGCAGAAAAACAGTTATTTAACTATTTTCCTGCAGTAATTGCAGCACAAGGAGGCCCTACTACATATTCAAAGCAAATGCTTGCATAAATCTTGAACAAATAAATATGCATTATAATCTTGTTTACTTGCTTCATTTGGCTGTTTTTTATCCTCTTGTGACTTAAAAATAACATGAAATTGGAAAACTAGAAAGGAGGTAGACTTTCAAGGACTACAACACAATTGGGCTTTTCTTTCATTCTGTCTGTTATTGCTTTGGCTTTGTAAAAAAAAGAAAATTATGACAATTGGTTAAAATTTAAAATAACATATAGTACTTTAGATGCTAATAGCACCTGCTGTAAATGCAATTAGAACCACCAGAACAATTTAAGAGCCATGAACGGAAAAACCCAAACGATACTAATAGTTGTTTTCCATTTGCAAAAGTTTAATATCCATTATTCCCACAATACTATTACTAAGTATTATAATGGTAGATAAATTGGCTTGCATTTTATACAGAATCCTTTTGGTGTCACTGATTGCTTAATAGCTTTATAATTGAAATCAGATTTACAGAAACAAACACAAGTGCATTTTGATTCAGTGTCTTGGCCATGGACACTTTTATATCTCCTCATAATTTTAGAGTTAAACCAACTCTCTGTTGACAAGCATACTGAAACACAGCTTGGTCATGCAAATTAAGCGACAGATCAACTGTTACAATAATCAATAGGCATTAACTGTGTGTATTTTCTTAACTTGAATTATAACATTATCTATTCATTCTTCAAATCCCTATAGTTTCCTGCTCTTAGTAAGAGTGATGGCTTTGCATTGCATGGAGTGTTTTTCTTCTTGACAAAGATTTGACAAGGTATTCATGGTTTTTCTTACAAATATGGATTCATTTTGACCCAAACACATCTCCCAATCCACCACACCTCAAAGGTTCTGTGTTACAGAGAACTGGTGACTGTATGAGCAGGTGTTCATCAGATAAATCTTACTCATAAAGGGATTTAAAAGGTCATTAACAATCCTGAGTTAGACTGGAACATCTAACTGGTCCCCAGATGCTTGCAGTGTGTTTGAAAATCAATATAGTAAAAGTATTACCTTTTCTTACTTTCCTACACCCAACTGAAATTTGATTTTACATAATTGGCACTGGAATTGTTTTTATTGATTTATTTATTTTGGATTGCTTTATTGTGTTCTATAGCAAGTTTATTAACAAATTTGTGTGCTTAGTTTTACTGTTTTATCCCTTAATAATTACTTTATTATTTCTGATATTCAGCGCTGTTTCAGCTGTGGCTGGTGGTAAAGCACTAGAGTCGACGATAATGATGATGACAACGATGATGACGATGACAATGATGATGAGGATAATGGTAATGATGTTCACACAAAAGTCTCACAGTGCCATCTGAGTGTTGCAGCTTAAATTGAGAAGCTACAGACAAGCAAAAAGCTCCAACTTCAAACTTAGGAAGGGTGTTTATCCAACAAATTAGAAGAAAAACAGTTGGATAAAATGTACCCATCCACCATCCTACTTGGGGACTTTAATGCCCATATGGGAAATGGCAGTGATACATTAAGGGATGCAATCAGGAGGAATTCACCCCTCAGCTCTAAACCTGAGTGGTGCTTATAGACTACTGTAAGAGCTATGGATTATCCATAATGAACACCACATTCAAGCATAAGGGTGTTCTTTAGTGCACTTGACACAAGTATACCCTAGTTAAGAGGTTGACAATTGACTTTGTAGTCATATCTTCTGACCTTTAGTTGCCAGTCTTGGACACCTAGACAAAGAAAAGGCAGAACGGTCCACCAATCACCACCTAGTGGTGGGTTAGAGTGGTCTTTTTTCTACCCTTTCATGAAATCTGTGTCATGACTCAAAGAACGAGATCTGGATACAGGTAGCTGAAATGAGTTTCCTCACAGGATAGCACTCACTGAGAGATAGGGTGAGAAGGTTAACCATCCGGGAATTCCTCAGAGTAGAGATGCTCATTCTCTACATTGAGAGGAGTCAGCTGAGGTGGCTTGGGCATCTGTTTCAAATACCCCAAAATGCTTCCCTAAGGGGTGTTCCTAGCACATCTTTCAGGAAGAAGGCCCAGGAAATGGCCTGAGACATTCTGCACAGAATATGTCTGTCGACTGGCCCTGGAACCCCTAAGGCTTCCCCTGCAGGTGCTGGAGCTGGTGTTAGAGGAGAAGAAACTCTAGACATGTCTGCTGAGACTGATGCCCCTGCATTCCAAATGAAGCGGAAGACGAGGGGCACAAGAGTAAGTTTTTACATAAACTACATTCTTATCGTCTGTTCACACAATACACATTAATCTGGAAAGATTTTCCCTTTTTAGTCAATAATCAACTCAGTTCTTTTTTTCAGTCAATGACAATGAAGCATTTTATTCAATGAGTTGAGCTACACTATATTTTTCCACTGTATTAAAGTTTCATTTTGGGGAATCTGTGCAAATTGTAGCCTATTTTTGCTGCTGCTGTTGTTGCTCTTTTTGTTTTTAACTGATAAGAGTGGCACTAAAGAGGCCTTCTTCTGTGGAGGTCTGTAAGCTTTCAGGTTAACAATTAAAGACATATCTTGGGTGTAACAACAGGTTATTTGGATTTCTGTCATCTTGAACTAGTCTGCCTGTTCTAAACTGACCTCTTACATAAACAACAAGTGATTATCTGAACAACTACTTTCTACTGGCTCAGTTGTAACTTTTTGGACAATTCTCTAAAAAGAACTCAAGCAACATTCTCAGTAGATCTAGTGTCTAAATACTCCAGCCTGCCCATCCGATAGGTGTACCGGATGAAGGGACAGTGATTGTATGTCTTAGTGTATTACTAACATTAATTTAATATGAACTGGGAAATGCAGTATCTATTTAAAGAATGATCACCAAAAAAGAATTAGATTTAAGAATAATTTACTCCCTATAAATATGTTAATTGGTGCTGCTCTTTGATAACAGTTTGTTCAATAACCAAATAAGTGAAGCCTGATTAAGTGAAAAAATGTACGTTGTTGATTTGAGATGTAACAGGAAGCAGTTTGATGTTCTTACCTTCATGGCTTTGATAGCCTGAGATCCGGAATAGTCAAACTCTCCAGCCTGGCCGATAGACAGACCACCTGACCCCAATACCAGCACTTTTGAAACCTACATTGAAAAAAATAAATAAGTAAAAATACTTAATATACTCAGTACTTAACAAATCTGTATATCATAGCTTCTTTTCCATTGGAGCATTAGGAAATTCCTTTGATTTATCCAAGTGTTAGTCCTGCAACATAGAAATCTTTCCCATACAGTTTCCAACAGCATTCTTTCATTAATATTCCCTATGATAATTATTGAGTCTTTAACAAATCCAGATATATTTATTCCTATTATCATATGTGCTAATGTGATTTGGGTAAAGTGCTTTTAGACTTGTTGGTCCACAAATAGAGATTAATGTAAATAATTAACAAATATTAAACAACAACTATACCTTTGCTCTGGTAGGGATGCAGGACTTTTTGGGCATCACTGACACAATGTTAGCATTTTCTCCATTCTTTATCAGTGATATAAAGGCATCAAATAGAAACTGTGGGGGAAAAAAGCAAATCATAATTATGAAAACTAATTCCAGAATAGTCATAATTATGTCGTGACCTAAAATATGCAGAATTCTTAGAACTTTATGCTGTAATCAAATAGATTTCACATGTTATTACCCAAAGGGTGCATGAGAAAACAATCAGACTGTAACCGACTAGCTTGGGATATAAAGAATTTACTGTAACCTACGGGTTACAGCTTTGAAAACCTACTTTTCATCTTTGTACAACCTGGCTAAAGGTACTATAGCTCTGAGACATAAAATATCCCAGTACACCTGCTGAAATTTCTAAAAACAAAATACTAATTATAAAGACGTAACATGGTAAGGAAAAGATCTTTCATGTTGAACATTATTCATGTGACTGCAAACAGAATTAATCATGGCATCAGTGATTGCCAAAAGACAGAATTTGTTTTCAATAAAGATACATAAAAAATATTAGGAAAAAAAATTTTACTAGGGCAATTGTTTTAGATTTGCATGCAAGTATAGTAGATGTATATATGAAAATGTATATATAAAGAAAATAGCTGAAGTAAATAAAGCACAAAATATATTTTTACGGTATCTGACAGGCAAACATTACAAGGTATCAGCCATGTGGGAGAAGGCAGAAGGGAGCTATCACACAAACACTTACTCTACTGCAGAAAAAAATACTTTTCTAAATCATCTTTGGTCAGTAGACCAGTACAAAATATTAGACTACCTAAACTGAGTTTTACTGTACCTTTGAGGATATGGAATATTGTGTGTTTTGCTTGTTTTTTCTTCCACACAGATTTGTGTCAAATACATATTTTATCCATTTATTAGTATTTTAAGAGGTAGATAACACAAAAAGTAAATATACGTAAGGAGGAATGAAATGGATACGTGGTTTTACTAGAGCATATGAGCACAGCACTTATCCAGGTCATCATTTGTACAAGTCTTATTTCTTTAGAATTTTACCTTGGTTGAATCCTATGAATAAATCTTTAATTAGTTGCAGTATAGAATCCAGGTAGTTTATGCAACACCACCAAAGTCTTTAATTACCTCTGTGTCAGTGGGACCACCCTTAGCTTCCGGATGGAACTGGGCCGTGAAAACAGGCTTACTGTTGTGCATGATGCCCTGGAAAATATGCATATTATACACACAGAAATTAGATAAAAACTACTCTTAACATTCAAGAAACAAGTGTTTATATATGTTTTAAATACATATATAAAAACCTTTATCTGCTTGAATATCCTTTTCAGCTACTTGTATTACACAGAAAATGATGCATTGACAAGCCAATAGAGTCAGATTAACCTCATTGGTGCCATCATTAGCATTGACGAAAAGTGGGCTCCAGCCTGCTGGCAGAGACTTGCTGTCAATGCCGTAACCATGGTTTTGTGCTGTTATGAAGGCCTGTCCTGTCATCAAATTCACCACTGGCTGGTTCTGCCCTCTAGAGAACCAAAGATATGCATTAAGATCTAAACCTTTGTATCATTTTTCTCTCAGGCGAGGCAACTTTTGTTACCTCTTATGTTATATTTATACATCTTATCTTATATTCATATAATCTTTTAAAGACTCAGAAGCAAATAAAATGCAATGTCCAATTATTAAACATAAAATAAATTTACCTGTTACCCATTGGCAGTTTATATGACTTTGCTCCTGCAGCCAGAGCTGTTATCTGATTGCCCATGCAGATCCCAAACACTGGCTGAGGCCGATCACTCTGTAACACCTGAAAAAATAAATAAATAAAAATTAGATTAAAAGTGGCATTCAAAAAGAATTCATAAAAAAAAACAAAATCAACATCAACAAAATCAGACATGCATCTTTTAAAAGTTTTAGTTTCATTTAGCCATTTTGTTATTCATTTTGTCTGCTTTGAGTGCTCAATAAATATTTGTATTAGCAGAAGACGCAAAGTCACACTGAGCGTTAAAGGGAGCAGTGACTGTAAAACATGGCTGAACAACTTTAAGACGTATATAACTAGGCTGTTTAGCTGTTTAACATTTTACATTAAAGAAACAGTTAGTTAATTGGTCTAATTAACAGTAGGCAGTTAACATAACCAAGAGAGTGTAAACATTTAACTTCGAGATAACAAGTTGTCACCATTTGCAAATCCAGAATATTCCAAAACAGATGAAGGCTTAAACCTCTAGAGATGACAGAGCAACGCTGCTTTACCTCATTCAGCATTACCTGCTTAATATGACTCTGGGTCCATTGACAATGATTTAACACTCAAAGTACAAAGTGTTGTTCTGTGGTAGACCTCTTTTGTAAGCAAAAGTAAAGGAATCAAAACTGAAAAGGCAAAATGTTGCAATATGATCTAAAGGATTCACATAAATTTAGATCTTTCCCCATGTTAACCACCTACCAGAGACCAAGTAAAGACCAGAGTGCATCGAGACCAAGACAACACTAAGACCTTTAGGGACTAAGTCCAACAAGTACTATAACACTACCCCTTGCAATAGCAGTCCGAATGGAAAGACCACATAAATCGAACTCAATAAAGCAACTTCTGAATTTCTTCCTAAATCTGTTGTGCTCAAACACTTGTCAAAAATAACTGACTTAAAGTCTTTTTCCTTTGGTAACAATCTCCACAATGAAGTGTGTGGTAAAAAAAAAAAAAAAAAACACGAGACCAACAGATCACAAAATATCTGGATGCCTCATTGATCCTAAATCTTTCTTGAAATACAATGAAACAGAATCAGTGAATCTAGATTCTCTCTTTAAATCATACCTTGCGCACATTGTTGATGAGTTTTTCAGCCAAAGACGGGTCTCCTGGTCCGTTTGATATAAACAAGCCATCATAGTCCAAGCTCAGCAAATCCTGGTCCCATGGCACAAGGTGGACTTCTGCACCTCGCTGCATCCACAAAATATATGGCATGGTTGTTGCTTTCTCTTTTTTCCAAAAAATATGCCAAAAACCTGTGAAACTGATACATCTGTGTAATCCCTAGTTGCATCTTTAAAACAGTAGCATAATGTACTTGTTAATTAGTAAAAGCTGTGAAAAAAGCATTTTAAGTAAGAGTTAGTTACACATTTTACATTTTTATGTTCAAATGCATAACAGTGAAGTGTGAAGGAAATCCACAGTGAACAACAGTGTTTTGCCATTCTTACCTTAACCAACAGCCGGATTATATTATGTTTAATACCACAGTCAACAGCTACAATTTTGATTGGGTTGCCTTTTCCAAAAACTTGGATCTCCTAAATAAAGAAGTGATATGGTAGATAACTCTTTAAAGCTGCATTTAAACAGGATATAAAAGAAACATGCCTTGTTGTTTCTACCTTAGTTGAAACTTCTTCTATTAGGTTTTTCTGGTTGGGGTCAGATATTTCTATAGGCTGCCCATCAAACTCAATCTTTGCCAAAACAGTGCCCTGAGGACAAACAAAAACATAAAAGTGAATGACCAGCTACTAAGTTATTCTACAATGCCAGAGAGCCAACCTGTAAATATACAATACCTGGTCTCTGATAATCTTGGTTAACATTCTAGTGTCTATTCCGAAGAGCGCAGGAACCTTTAAAGTTCAATTTAAAGTTAATTACAGACAGGTTCTGCTTAACTCTGATGTTGCACAATGTGCTTGATAATTTCAAAACAAACCTTTTCTTCTTTTAGCCACTGACCCAAAGACTTTACAGAATTCCAGTGGCTGTATTCATGACTGTAGTCTTGAACAAGGAGTCCAGACACCTACGGTATAAGCATAAAAGCAAAAATATAAACAATAGCCAAAAAAAATAAAACTTTAGCCAGTTTATTTTAAATTTCAAATGGATGTCCCATAGAGAACTGAAACATCTGTATGTGCAACGGATACTTGAGAACAAGCATGAAGCGGAAAATAGGATAAATACCATTACCATCAGGAACATGTGCAGAACACTTAACACTTCAAATCCTTCGTTTCAGTTACAGTCTGCAATGAAGCAGCAACATTATAAAGCAGAAGCCTGCATATAGGAGATATATTTCCTGTCTTGTAAAGATCAAAGGAATCCCGACCTTTTAAAAGCAGATAAAGACAATATTACACAATCACAATCTTCCTCAATCGTATTGTTGGTTTGTTTGTGCCATGAACAGTCAGGTTCCAACAGCAGAATACGGTCATAAACATTAAATCTGCTGATGCAGCAACTCTTCACAAACTTACTCAGATGTCTGTATATTTTTATTTGTGCTTCAGGATCTAGTCACTGTAAAGAAAAAGAGTGTGGGATCTATCTAACAAAGCAAAATAGTGTTCCTATACTGTAGTTATTTTTCCAGGATTTCTTTTATTTTTTATGGACTGCTCATTAACATTTTCTACAGTAGGTAAGAGTGGTATATCTGGGTGGAATCTGAAAGCAACACCAAACTATACAGTAAATGCTGACACAATTTGGAGACATTAAATTTTCAAATAATAAGTAAAGATGACAAAGCCAAGCAGACAACCCCACCTGTGACATACAAAGACTGTGTCTAAGGCTGTGTCCCAATGTCTGCCCAAACCGCTATATAGGGCCCTATATAAGGGGTATCTCATTTTATATGAATGGCTGAATGTCTAATGGATGAACAAGTAGTGGACTCATAATTTGCACCTTGAAAAGTAGTGTGCATCCATGGCCACTGGACAAGCAGATATATCCCAGAATCCTTTGCTCTACAGGGGCATTGGCCCCTGTTGGCCCCTGTCTAGGCTTTTGGCGGGACGACAGTTGCGTCAGATCGAAGGATTGATGGTTAAAGCCCCGGCTCCAACTTTCAGTGTCATTTTGTCCTTGGGCAAGACACTTCATCTGCATTGTCTACTGATGGTGGTCAAAGGGCCCGGTGGCGCCAGTGTATGGTATGTAGTGTATGTAGCTTGCCACCATCAGTGTGTGAGTGGGTGTGTGAATGGGTGAAGAATTTAATGTAGTGTAAAGCGCTTTGGTCAAGTCTCCTGAATTGAAAAAGCGCTATATAAGTATAGGCCTTTTACTATAGCACCGCCTATGCTCCAAACTGATCAGAAACCAGTGCCATTATGTTTTATTCCCACATTCAGGTATACATTTTCACAATTGTATGTCTGTGTTCTTATTTTTTATTTGAATATACACTGTTCCAAAAATTAAGGGAACATGTAAAAATCACAATATAACTTCAATTAAATCAAACAAACACTGACTGATAATCAATTTCACATGCTGTTGTGAACATGGAATAGACAACAGGTGGAAATGATTAGCAAGACACACTTAATAAAGTGTTTCTACAGGTGGGAACCACAGACCACTTCTTACTACTTATGCTTTCTGCTTTAATGTTAGCATATTAATGCGAAAAAGCAATAGTATGTGTTGTAATTTTATGGTTGATACATTAACAACTGAAATGTTAAACTAGTCAGGATATTCCATCACTGCTGCCACCCTCTGGTTTAGAATAAAATTGCTTGTTCTTGAGGTGGTGAAGATATGTCCTTGGTGACACTGAACAGTTAAAGACAGTCCTGATGACTTTTTTTACTGGCTTAAAAAATAACAACCCAATAGAGATTTATTCTACACAATACAGGGGAGGTGACTTATTGAACTTGTTTGCCTTAATCTAGTTATACAGTTGAAGTTCTAGGCAGGATTCCCTGTCAACTGAAGGCAATGACTTGGTCTCATGACAAAATAACATTGCAATTCATATTGCCCCACTAACAAAAGACTTCTTCCAGTAAAATAACGTCCTTTTTGGGACTCTCCTGCATAATATTTAGATGCCTTATCTAATTTCAGTAATAAGGGATCTAAATAAAAGGTTTGTGGAAAACTAAACATTTTAGTAATGTCCTTGATGTAATACCTGGATATTTGCAGACTCCACATGTTTTCTTAGACCAAGTTCATCCATCTCCTGGGTGTTAGGTACTCCATAGTTCCCAACAATGGGGTATGTCAGGGTTAAGATTTGACCTCTGTAGCTGGGGTCAGTCAGGGCCTCAGGGTACCTGAATCGGTAAATCAAATGTTTGTGATGTATTACCGAAGCTCAATGTTGTGATGCTTTATTTTGAAATGTATACAAATCTAAATGAAAAAAGGATAGCGTTGACCTAGTATATAAGGTTATTGAGTATAGAGGTTTATAAAAAAAAAAATAATAATTGTAATGGCAGTGGAAAGGTACGCAAAACAAAAAAACAGGCATCTATTACAAGTCAAATTCATAAATATAAGAATAAAGCATATAATAACAATAAAGACCAGAGTATAGACCTAAAAATGTATTCATGTGTGCATCTATGTATGAAAGAAAGTTGATTCAATTGCAAATTCAACTGAGATAACTAGGAGGAAGGTTTTGTCAGGTCATGAAGTCGCATGAGTTCAATGAGAGATTCAAAAAGGTAAGGAAAAAATCTGCATCCATCCATTGCACTGTATAGATATATACTTTTTAAGTAGAGTATATTCAAAACACCCCTTAACACGCTTTGGTCAAATTGTAGAAAAGAGTTCACCTTAAGCATAAATCTCACTTAATAAAGTGTCCTTAACCTCTCATGAGAGGTCTGTGGGTGAAAACATGGGAAATACATGAAGGCTGTCTGTCTGTCTTTATTTTTCTTATTAATTTTTAACAACTATTTGGACACTACAGCAGAAGGAATGTTTGGCATCATTTGTGCAAAGAACTAGGAATACCATGGTTGTGGGATGCTTTGTTTTAGTAAGATCAAAAAAACATCACAGAATGAATGATTCTACCATGTGTCAGAGGGGCTTAAAATACAAAAAAATACTATAAATAATAATTCTCTATATCTAAAACTGGATCCTGATGAGGATGAAATCTGATCTCAGATCTACACAATCCAGGTAATACTATATATAATGACCATTTCAGATATAAAAAACAAAAACAAATAAAACATTCTAGATATCCAGATATGTAGTTCTTGGATGCATCAAGCATAAACCAAGCTTTAGACATCCAGCATTTTTATTTTTCATAGAAAGAAAACTTTACATATTTGGAAGTAAAAACCCAATACAAACGAATGAGGAAAGTGATGTTATTTGTATAAGAATAATACGGTAGTCAAGATATCTAAATTGCTCATTTTATATAGGAAGAATGTTACAACCTTTAATTTCTCTGTAAGATTAATAAAAGATTTTCAAACTGAAATGAAATTGTGAGGCCATCTTTGAAAATAAATTAAAGCTAAAGGGGTGGATACCCGAAATATGATAATGATTACATACCAGGAAATCTACATACAGTACTACATTGAAAATAAAGAAATGGGAAGTCCTCACTCATTCTTGAACTCATACTGTATAATGTAATGTCACTTTAAATGTGCCACCCATAAAAAAGTAAAACTCACATTTTACACCTAAAAGTCAGAACTGAGAAAGACTTTTCTCAGATGAACATAAAATACAAGTAAGATGCTACATGAAGGGTCTCACTGAGGTTCCATCCACTATAGGAGGCAATAGTAGCTATTAGAGGGTAAGATGCCCTCACCTAACTTATTAACTATATTTCATTATTTATTTTTTTTTTGCTGTTTAAGCAGTATTAAATCTATTTTATTAAGAGTTCTATATAAATTACATGAGGCTATCTTATATGAGGGATTCATAGAAAGGATTTAAGATTTTATAGATATCTTTTTTTTTTTTTTTGCCTTTATTATAACCTCCAAACCTTTTCTCGAGGCTTTATTTCTTTCTTTTTTTTTTTTTTTACCTGACAGAGATTTGTTAGAGGGTACAGTTTTCTTTAAGACTTTATGGTGTAAGGACAAAAGACTGAGTTTCTTTCTTACCCAACCAGGCCTGTATTGAAGACAAGTTCCCCAGCTACAGAGCCATTATGCCCAAAGGAAAACCCTTTCATCCTGGTTCCATCCTCCAGGACCAGGTGAGCTGTCTGTGCCTGAGAGTTAAAAGAAGGTAGACAGATGACAAGTGAAATCTCACCCAAGAATAATATATTCTCTTTTTCTAAACCCAGTTTGGACAGACCAAAGGCAAAACTTTGAAATAAGGCAGCCTGTAGATTTTGAGTGTAGGAGGGATATGGCAGCCAGTGAGCCACTGGGACTTTGTGCTGAAACTGCAGGTCATTGAGAAATGTGCTGCGAATGCTGAGACCGACAAATCTCTTCAACTGTTGTGAGCACGAGTTAGAGAGCAGGTCGGCGTTAAAGCAAAAGAGAGGGGAGATCCAGGAAGATAAATGTATGAATGTAGAGGTTGGTGAAACCTACTGGGGAGCAGCATCAGCACACATCAGAATGAATACAAATGGAACAGGTCGTTTTCAATATTTTTCATTTCTCACATTACATTTAAAATACTGATATATTGATAGTGATGATCTACATGTTGAAAGTTGCACATTAAATTAATTCCTGACTGGAATATAATGACAATTAATTTATTTTACAACAACAGTATGAACATGCAGCTATATCTACATAAAACAAATATAATTGAACTGTTTATTTTGTTATTTTGTTAAATTATATGTGGATACCTTGAATACAAATGTTAATATGTTTAGGGTATTTATTTACTTCTATTTAATTCATCTATATATATATATATATATATATATATATATATATATATATATATATATATATATATATATATATATATATATATATGCTGATTAAAGAGCAGAAGTAATCGAAGAAACTTCTGTTCCCAAGAAAAGATGATTATTCCTTTTAAAATCAATAAAAAACATGATTTTTAAAGCATGAATTTTATATTAGAGCCTATATTGTACAATCATGGTGAGAATTATAGTCTAGACAGGTGTCCAGTAGATGGTGACTTTCATCATCTATAACAACTATGAGCCAAAAAATGTAAATATTTTAGGGAAGTTGAGTGGAGGGAAAAATGTGGGTATGCAAGCCACAGGGTAACGTCTGTCTGTCATATATTGTGAAGCTCCTGGCGCAGCAAGTAATATATAGTAAAATAAAATAACATATAACTTGCTGTTGGATCTATTTAAACATCTGTTATTAGTTTAATGGTATTGTTTATTATGCACCCTGCTCACACTGTTTGATGTGTATTAGGGGCAGAGCTAGATGGGGACCAGGGGTGGCCATGGCCACCCTTAAGCCTGGCGTAAACTGTGCGATTTCGGGGTGATTCTCAAGTCGTGATTTAATAATAGTGCTTGTACATATCTATTTTATACAGAATGCTTATTGATACAAGTAGGTAAGTAATGACAATGAAACTCAGAACTCAAACATGATTTTTATCCACAACACCTTTTATCTAGAAATTACGCGTCTGTTTGTTAGCAAAGGCTGTAGGAAAGTATAGTTAGTCTTTATTTAGAAAATATGGATGTTGTGCTCGTTAATTTTCAGTGTAGTTTGATCCTCAGGTTCTGGTGCTTATCCGCTTTCGGCCACCCCTCAGTGTACATTGGTTATTGCCTGGCCACCCTTATAAATCATTTCTGGCTACGTCTCTGGTGTGGAAATATGCATAAATCTTAAATAATTGTAGATAAACAAGTTTTTTAAATAAATTGACTAAATGGGCTATTCTGTGTCAATTAATATAAGATGTCTGTGAGCTGCATAGAGCAACTGAAGTGTCTGAACTATGATGCAACAGTGATTTATCCTGTAGATGTGATACAGGGAAGTCCAGCAGCTGCACTGACAGCTGTCTAAAACTCTCAGTTAAAAACAGCATTCCTTCTAAGAACACAGGACTGATTAGATAAAAGCACAGGAAAATCATATTTAATTTGTGTTTACGTGCATTTTATAAGGAATTGTCATATACATTGGAAACGTATATATTTATAACAGTTTTAAATAGCTTATTGAACTTCTATCCTCCCAAAATGTGACCACTTTTTAATTGCGCACACAGATTTTTAGGACCTCAATCAAGTTTGCAGCACTTCTTATGGAGGCTTAAAGTGAATTAAATTGGCACATCATCCAGGAGGCATTTTCTTACCTTGACACTGAAAAGTTTCGCAGACTGAAGTTTTGGCCAGCCCCACGCGTTGCCCACTTTCCTGCAAACCACGCATCCTTTTCTCAGAGATTTAACCACGCCGCACGCCAACAGGATTTTGGTCATGTTAGTTTTAAGTTCCCCTGTTTAGTAACCTCTGAGGGGTAAAAGCGGACAGTAGTTCTATAGAATATTGGAAATAATATCAAGTAGAGAGTTCCTTGTCCCACTCGTGTTTTCAGGGGCCACAGGCTGTCATGAAGGGAGCGTTTGAAAGTTTGCAGCGGATTGGCCGCTGAGCATTTGTTGTTCCGCGCAAAGAAGCGGACGCTGTTTAGATTGGCCCTTTCCCCTAAAACAAAACATAAACGCCCACTTCTATCTCAAATGTGACAGCAGATACTTTCATTGTTTTTATATTCAGTCGCGTACAAGTTTTAGGTGTTCACTAAGACGTTGGGTGTGTTGAAGTTTTGTAAATGAAACTGTACCTTTAATGCTATATTTAGACTTAAACTTACATAGATTTATTCTTCATTATGTTTACACACGTGGAGAACAAAAATAAATTTAGTTTAGAACAGCTCTCTAGATAATTTCATTTTTTTAAAGTGCAGTCTTGAAAAATAATAAAAAAATATATATATAAAACATTAATAGGCTATACACATATGACTGTAAATTTACAGTTCTAACATTTTCAGTTTTTTTTTTTTTTTTTTTTTTTTGCAAGTGTATCCACATGTATTTATCTGTTTAACATTTGAATATGACGTCTTTATATGGGTAAACTTACTTTTATTGATCATTTTGGATTCATTTTAGCACAGGGAAGAAAAAAAAATCCCCAGGAGTAAAGAGTTATTAGAAACACTTTCAGCTATTTGTGCTTGGAACAAACAGGACGCCTTCCCACTGGGAATGGCTGCACCCGCTTATGGCGAACTTGTAGAGTGCTTTATGTGCAATAACCGCTTTACAGTCTCTCTTTGAGTAACATTGCCTGCAAAGAAAAAAAAAGCAAACCAAACTCTGTGCAGGCTGCATGGTGGTGGGATTAGAGTGGTCTGTGTATTTGCTGATGACTGCAAGAATGGTCCTCTGTGGAAAAGGCTGCCTGACTGCCACTCTGCTGTGTTCAGCAGTCTGAACAACATGAGAGTATCTGGACCTGAACAGATTGGGGAATATCTGTAACCAGAAGTAGCTGAACACATTTTACTCAGCCTGTTATGATTGATCCTTATTTCGCACAGATTCAAGAATATATCTATTAGTAATCATAATTTGGGGCTACAAGTATACAACTTGTGTATTAGAATTCATTAGTTGAAATTATATACTTTACATGTATCAACATAGCCTTCATTTTTTATTTTATGTTTGAATTAGGATTTTTGCATTGGACTGAGCTCTACCCATGCATAAGAAAATCTATCTGAGATGAGGCGCAGCTCTGTGGAGCTCTGCTGACATCCAGTGGCAAGTCTCATCGATAGGTGCTCAGGAAGGAGCAATCCAGTGTTAACCATGGGAAAGAAATATCCAAACTACTAACATGTTTTTTTTTTTTTTGTCTTTGTGCATTTGCATTTTTTTCACTCTGACACATTAAAGGCATATCTGTGAATTATTGTTCTTATATGGTATCACATCAACCTTTAGTTACTATTTAGATCAGGATTGTTATGTGTATAATTTTATTTTATTATCAGCCCTGTAATATAGATCTGCCTGATCTTCCTTTCACTAAAGCATTAGATATCTTGTCACTTTTTTCTATCTTGCTGGGATTCTATTAAATATTCTAGAACAAATTAGTTTGAATTGAGGAAACTGATACATGGCTGTCCAATGTTTTTATAAAAAAGCTTTCAAAAATTAAGATCTGTATTTGTATGCAGTACCCCTAGTTCAAAACTATAACCCAGTTTGAACTGCAACCAGGATACATAGAAGAACGTTAGCTCCATATGAGCAATCTAAAAAAAATCTGTGAAGATATATTGCATTGTTTTATGAAAGGAATTTAAGAAATAGAAAAGTAAGATTTGGTCTACCATAATATTCTAAATATAACAGCTGCCCCTCAGCATGATACTGCCACCATCTTGTTTCAGAACTTAGTGTTTAATGTGTTTTGCAGTGTACGTATAAATATTTACTAAACTGCTTTACTATCCTTATAGAATCTTATCCCCTGTTTGTTGTGTCCCCTAGTTAATACTTATAAAAATAACTTTATTCCATCCCTTAACAAAGACAGATTTGTTGATTTTCAGATGTTGGATTGGATTGCGCTGGTTGAGATGTTAGAAGTTTGGAATATTGGTGTATAACCAACCCAGCTTTAAAGATCTCAACAACTTCATCACTTTTATGTATTCCCTACATACTTATTACACCTCTGAGGCCTTTACAGAAATGTGCTATTAATACTGAGACTAAACATCACATATGTGGACTCTTCTAATAATATGACACCTGAAAGCAAATATTCCACTCATTTTATTTATCGTTACCAGAATCGAAGAAGACAATCCCAAATTGTCACTGAAAATTTGGATCAATGTTTGTAAAATAAAAAAGATAGGAAAACCATGTATATACTCATTATGTCACATGGCATTTTCTGTAAGTCAATTAAATAAGTTGCACTCTGTGGTCATTATTTGACAAAATCTTGCAGAAGGACCTAATAAAACCATTCATTATGATTGCTTTATAGGTAGTCCAAACAAGTAAAAGAAAGAGCTGGTTTGTTTTGTTTTTTTCTTTTGAGAATTCACCAGTCTTGTTTAAAATATAGTGTATGAAAATTGCAGAATCAGTATGTAAGACTGTAGATCTACACTGGTAAGAAAAGGGAAAGCACTGGAGTCATTTTGCATGCTGCACATAGTAGAAGCTTTAACAGCTTGAGTGTCAGCCTGACACCTTAACTGAAATGTTTCTTAAGACAACACACTGAGTTTATAACCATGTAATGAAAACAGCTGAGTATTATAGAGCAGTCATCAATTAAAATGCTGTCCAAACATGATGACTTTTACTACAATTCTTACTGGTACAAGAGTTGGTTTCCTTTTGGTCAGTTATTTTTTATTTACCTTTTTTTCTGATTTTTTTTTTTTTTTTTTTACAATAGAGCAGTTAAATCTTTAAAGGAACTAAATAGACAGCAAAGATTTGTTAATCCCAAGATAAACATGAGAAAAGGCTTATTGATGTTTAGTGTCTTACAACTGGACTTTTAAGGGCGATTCTGTTCATTTTCTGTTTTCATGTAGCTTCCTGACGGATAAGGAAAGAAATATTTTAGCTGGATGGGATTAAACTCTACATTAAAAATATTCCTAAGACTGACCCTTTTTCCACATATGAACTTTAGTGTAATTTAACGGCGTGACAGGTATGTTAGTCATTTTGCTCTAGTTTTTAGAGAGATAAGTAAAGAAAACAAAAAAACATCTGAGGACAGGATGACATTTCTGTCATTTTTATTCCTTTCACTTTTATCTCCATATAAAGCACTGATATGATACAGCTTATCTATAGGCTTTGCATTTCTTTTTATAAACCCACCAAGCTATCACTAGGCCCTCATGTTGTTCTAGTGTTGAATTTAAAAACATAATTTTAATGCATTTTACTGATTTTGAAAACATTCCACAAACATGTTAAGCATAATCTGTACTGAATTGAACTATTTTTTTTATCACCCTTTGTTCTTAGTGTGAAGAAACCCAGGATATAATGTCACAAAACAAGTAAAATAGTGCTTTCTTTTTAAAATTGCCCTTGACTATGTGACAGCTACGTGAAGATGAGAAGCCTGTGAAATACACTTTAGCCTTTTATTACCGTGAAGCCCATCATTAGGTGCCCTCAACTGATTGGCTGACTTGAGCTCTATAACAATCTCCAGCTTGTGTCTTCTGCAAAGGGATCCCACATTGTCTGTGGTCTCAAGTGTGAGTTTCACATAGTGACCGAGCTTAAGGGAGGACATAAATAGAAAGGCAGGCACCCTCACTATTCTCTCTGTGCCAGGTTTCCAAACAAAGTCTTGGTCCTTACATCACTGAAATAAAAGATGACATGCTTTCAAGGATGAATTAAGAAATTTTTATAGACAAGGACATAACTAACAAGTTAAACACATTGACCTTTAAGCCAAGCTCCTACAACCTGTGCTTATCTACTGTCTTGGAAGCTGTTGGTATTTTCTATTACCGGTATATGAAACCCAACTGGCCACACAAATTACTGACAGTTAAAGTGTTTAAAAGCTGATGCCAAATCTAAGTAGTATAAAAGGTGATATTAGATGTTAAATAATAATTTATAATAATAATAATACCAAAAATTATTGAACCTTATTAATCTCACATTGGAGAAATTTACCCTGTGCGTTTAACCCATCCACTTGAGGAGAAGTGGACTGCCATTGTGCAGCACCTGAGGAGCAGTGTGGGGTTAAGGGTTTTGCTCAGGAACCCAGAGTGGACGCTGTGGGGATTGAACCCAGTACTTGCAACCTTCTCAAAGCACAAGCACAGTGGTCTAACCACTAGGCCAACACTTCCCCCCTTATAGAAAATATGGTTCAAAATCACTCGAATAAGCACAAAGACAAATATTATAATTGACTGTGGTTTACTATGTTACTACTGCTTGTGTTTGAGATGTGCTTTAATGACCAGTGAAACATTCTGCAAGTAGATAAACAGCAACAAACATTTTTTACTTATTTGACTATAAACAAGTCCTAAAAAGAAACTAACCCCCTGGCCGGTTGCTCTATATTAATTACAGAAGACTTAGCAGGAGTTGAGCCTCTAAAATGTTATTTTTTCTTCTTTGAAACCTTGGGCTAGCCTGAGGTTATTTGTAAATTATCTGGGACAGTACAGCCATGATGTATACCCATCATATCCTCTAGATGTGGAATGAAAAATATGAAACACTTCTCATCCTTTATAGAAGTTTACCATGCTTTAAAAAACATGGTTGGTTGGTTGGTTGGTTGGACGGACGGATGGATGGATGGATGGATGGATGGATGGATGGATGGATGGATGGATGGATGGATGGATGGATGGATGGATGGATGGATGACCTCTTGCTCTTACCTCCTCTTAAAACCTTTCATNTGGATGGATGGATGGATGGATGGATGGATGGATGGATGGATGGATGGATGGATGGATGGATGGATGGATGGATGGATGGATGGATGGATAACCTCTTGCTCTTACCTCCTCTTAAAACC